GAGGTAAAAGTGGAGGAGGAAAATATTAGTTAGAACAGAATTTGACAATGTTTAATGGAAGATTATTTTTGCATATTTTGTGATAAGGAAAATATGTGTTGAATGTACAGATGTTCTGAACAGCAAATAATGATGCTTCAGTTGACCAAACAATTTACAATAATGACCTCTTGCTAAAGCATACTGATTTTTTTTTTTTTTAATTTAGGAGGAACTCATATTTACTGCATGTCACTGTTCCGTATTGTTGTGATGAATGTTAAACTTCTGAAATTAATGAGCAAAGCTAGCAAAGGAAGCAACAATAATTTGGTTGGTTATTTATTTTATAACACAGAAAGGCTGACCAGGGGAAGTTTAGGTTGGATATTAGGAAGAAAGTTTTTACAGAGAGAGTGATCAGACATTGGAATGGGCTGCCCAGGGAAGTGGTAGATTCACCATCCCTGGAGGTTTTTAAGATGAGACTGGATGTGGCACTCAGTGCCATGGTCTAATAACCACAGCGGTGTTGGATCAAGGGTTGGACTTGATGATCTTGGAGGTCTTTTCCAACCTGGTTGATTCTATGATTATTTTAGCTTTTTCCCTTAGTTTTGCTAGCAACAAAAAGCTTTTTCTTGTCTCTGTATATATCAGTGTTTAAAATCATAGTCTACATTTCAGCCACAGTGAAACAGCCATCTTTGAGTCCATTCTTAAATTTTGTGTGTGCACACATGTACATTAAAATGTTAAAAATTTTGAGGGTTTACTCAGAAATAATTTCAATTATTTTTCAAGTAGAAGGTGCAATACAAAAGCTACAATTATCATAACTTGTCCTGCATTTGTAGATTTAAAGTCTTTATCCTTCTGATTTGTTTTATAAATTAAAAATGGAGTTGTCTTCCACAATCTATCTCACTACTAGTATTCATGTACCGTACCCAGCACAAGGATAAAATAAGAGATAACATGTATCTACAGTACAAGTAGGATTTTTTTTTTTCTCACTGTGTAGCTTCTCTAGAATTCCTGAATTGTAGCAAATTAAATTAGACAAAATAAACAGGCATGCATACTTGCCTACATCAAACTGCCTATGTCCTATGCATAGTTATAATTAAAGCCCAATTTCAAAAGAACGTGCAGTCAAGATTTCTTCTTTTTTCTTCTGGAACTAGCACAAATCATACCTGGTAGCTCAGATTTTACATTGATTTATATCTTACACCAACCATACGCCAGAGCAAAATATATATTTTAGTGCCTGTTTTCCTTTACTTTTCTCTGGTTGCAGTACAACCTTAATTTCTTGTCACTTTTATATAAAACATATAATACTGCAGACAGCAGTGGGTCATATGGAATAGGTCAAGGGGAGAAAAGACTCTATTCTTACCACCAAAAGTAACACATAAATCCTTCTCACTCATTCTTCAGCTGAGTATTTTGAGAAGCCATTTCATATACTTATAGCTGACATCTACTTGGCTTTAAGTTGGTTTAACGATCACGCAAATCCCCACACTATGGTAAATCTTAATGAAGAGTTCTTCAGTGGGAAGCATAGAAAGTTTTCCTTGATTTTCTTGATTTTTACATATTTTGAATGAAAATGATGACATACGAAAAGAGATATTTTAGGAGAGCTATGTTTGAACATTATGAGACCGTTTCCCATGCTTTATTTTTTGAATCCTGGTGGACTTGATTCAAACTCAGAGATATTTTACCCAATGGTTTTTCATCCAAAATTAAAATTCCACTGAAAGATACATGAATTTAAAAACTTACATTTAAAAACATGCATTGAAACTGATGGAAATTAAAGAAATTACATGAAGGATTTTTATGACAGCTGCTTTATAGTATATTTTTATAATGAAAAAAATACAAGCTCACAGATGATGAGAGGAAGTTAATAGATAATTATATTAGTAATTCATTACCTTTGAACTCCAAAGACTTTTCAATAACTTTGTACCTAATAACTTCAAACTGTCCAAAGACAGTTTTTAAGCACAGTCATTTTATGGAAAACAAAAAGGCAAGCTGAAGACTGTGTGTCCACTGGCATGCCTATTAATGAAAGGAAAATTTTCTTGCAAGAGTGAGAGGTTTCATATTCTTTCAGTGGCCGTGGCATAGGAGACAACCAGAAGAGACCCCTTGCTACCTGGGTGTCTTGGTCTCAACTTTTATATTAGGAGAGCCAGTTATATCTGTAGTTTGACATAAACCAGGATGATCTTCAAAAGCAACTCACTGTCACTCATGAGAAAAAGAGATATCACCAGATGGTACAGCAACCTCCAACTGGGCAAGTGTCAGTTTCTGAGACTGGCACTTCACGGTCACACTTGTATGCGAGAAGCGACACTGTGCACAGTACGTAACCACAGCCCTCCGTGCCAGCTTCTACCAGTAGTGGTGTTCGTTCCTTTTCCAGCGTGTGCTGGGTCTTTCCTGCGTGATAAGTCACCATGGCACCCTCAGGGAAACCCCCAAACCATAGCAGAATCCTCCTGTGGTTTCCAGAAGGTTCATACATTTCATCAGGTAAAGACAAGCATGTCAAGTTCAGCCCCACCCTCATCCCTTAGGAATTTACACTTCTTGGCTTCTGTAACTGAAGATCAAATGTGATTCCTTGTGCAAAAGAAATACGATGCAGACACAGCGGTAGGCAATTGTACAGGGTGGGAAAGATAAAGGATTTGCCATAAATCCAGGGCACAACCCCAGGCAGGGCTAGGCACAAGCGAATACTCCTGTACCTGCTCCATGAGGAATACATGCACGCAGTAAGTGTTCAGACTGTGTTCCCACCTATCCTCCAGCTGCCAGTGATAGCAATCTTCCAGCACAGCCTCCGGCAGAATGTGACTGCTAGGACTATTGCTCCATTTCACTTTGGCAGCTGCTTGTTTCTGACTGGATGCACCAAAGTTTTGTACCCATGACACCCAGTGCTCACACTCACTGCTGCATTGCAGAGGTTTCACTGGCTCCAAATATCTCCCCTCTCACTGTAGGCTGACGCTTCTGGTGGATCAGGAAGGTTTTCCAGTTCTTCACTGACATAAGAATTGAAGGACAACTAAATTCTGCTAAGCACATAGGCAACTCTATTTGGTTTTGTGGAGAAGAGCTAGTGATAGGCTACAGCCCACAAATCTTGTTACATTGCTTTTTGTATTTGTGTGATCCTGTTCAGTATTTTAAGGCCATAATGCTTTAATAGTTGGCTTGAGACAGCTGCAGCCAACTTCCTTTCTTAATTACTATGCTGGGGTTATCCCAAGACATTTTTCAGCTGTAAGCTGTGTCACAGCATGAAAACATTTGAAAACTGCTGATTTAATAAAACTACACACTGCTGGCCAAAAAAGCAAGAACCTAATTTGGAAATGATGTTAATTAGCTGTATGGCGTGGTGTCTGAAGTATCACACTAAGACTTTGAAAAAGGCAAGTTTTACAGTTACTTCTATCGCTTTTCAAACAATAATCAAAAGCATAATAAAAAACCTGCAAATTTTCACTTTATGATCAATGTCAATCAAAATAATCACTTAAATGGTGCATTCAGTAACATTCAACTGCTTCTTAATGAAAACTATAGAATCACAGCACCAACATTTTACAAAGAAAATGGGGAGGGTGTTTGCTTTAGAGAGAAGAGGTCTTTTTCATTGAAAACTTTTTCATTGAAAATCTTTTTCATTTAAAGTGCCTAACCCAGCTGCTGCTATGCACCTAGAACTGCACAGCAAAAGCACAAGGAGAAACAGCAGCATTTCATCTCCTAGCCTGGGTGTCCTCCTGGCTGATTATCAGAAAGCAACACGGAGAAAAGCTCCTCAGGAGCTTCTGCTGGTGCAGACCTGCTGGTGTAGACCTGCTGCTCAACAGGATGGGCCAGAGGCTCAGCCTGTGAGACTGCCACCATGGTTGCTGCTCATTTCCTGTGTGCTCTGGGTATACTGCAAATCATGTACTTACATATTTGAGGATTTATATGCCTTGCCCCTCACTGCACTAGAGATCACCTCCCTAATATTACTGGCACTAGCAGCTGTTACCAGCGATGCGACTTCAGCATCAGCCTCTTGGTTGCTGGGTATATGCAGCAGGGAGAGTGCTTCCATTTTCTCTCCAAATTCAAACTCCCATTGCAGCAGCTGAGCCAGAATTTGTTAAACCAGTCACCAGGTTGGAAAAGTATTTTTAGTGTTTAATATTTGTAGTAACTTTGTGGAAGTACAGCTACAATATCATGGTTTTCCTCCACTGTGTGCAGATATAGGGATCGTCCTCTGATACAGGCAGTCATGTCAGGCCTGATGATCTTCTGCTACAAGCTGATTTCACACTGCTTTGGCATAGTAAAATTACCTTAATATGGGATTAAATGACAGTAATTTACAGCCATGTTGCCCTGCTGATGGACTATGAATTTACTATACATGAAAATCACACCCATTTTTAAATTTAATTCTTTGCTCTGGAACTTGGACAGTAAGTACAGATTAGTTATAAAAACACAGATTCTCTATACTTACAAAACTACTATTTGTCCTGGTTTGCAGCACCTAATCTAAGGAATACAAAACTTGGCATTATGCCTCATCAAGGCCTACTTTCTAAACTTAGCAGGAAGCAAGTGCATGTGCAGTTTTTCAACCCTGAAGTGACTGCCTAAGTCTCAAACATGGTATTCACATCACATACCACTTTTTCTGGTATGATGAATTTCACTCGTATGATACATCTTTAGACCTGTCTCTGAAAAAGAAGATGAAACCCCATTCTAAAGTCAGGTAAGTATACACATATGGTTCTTCCTACTGGAACATCTGTAATCACACACTGGTCTAAATTGTGGGGGGCAGAAATGTGAAATGTGAAACAGCACGACAAAAAGCACAATCCCACCTTATTCCAACAGCAGCAGACACCAAAATTTGCTGATAGATATGCCTACTAACAACTAACTCGTCTCATTTACCCTACCTTTTTCTTCTGCAAGTATTTTCTTCAGGATAAATCCCATGCTAAAGCTGGCCTCCACAAGATGCCACAGCTGCACTTCTGCCCCATCCACAGGTGGAAACACTGCTGAAAGAAGAAGTTAGAAAATCTTAAATCCACATTCAGATTTTTTGTGGACGTCTGTGTCAAAGGAATGGTTCTGGCCTCAGTGTGCTCCATCCTCATTTATCTTTTAGGTTAACTGCATCTCACTGGCAATGTGACAAGACCATCCCATTGCCTCTAAAGCATCATAAAATGAAGGTTTTGTAAGCACAATCTAGAAATGGCTGTGCACAAATGTGCACACATGCATGCACACACAAACTGCTCTCTAAGGGGACCCCACACCATAAGCATGACACAGTTGGCTCAGAAAGCACAAAAGAAGCCGTGGGGGTGAGTTGAAAGCAAAGTTACAGACACAGCCATTGAGACACTAATCTTCCACCTCAGAAGGTGGCACACGCACTTGTTAGACCCAGCAGGACCAGGCAGCCGCTGGAGCCACAGCCAGAGCCAGGTATCTTGGCAAATTAAAAATACATTGAATCTCACTCCGGTCCTAAGAGCAACTTTTCTCAAATTCTCACAATAAAATCTTCACCTAAATTTGCTTGGGAACTTTAAGATGAAGCAGAACAGTTTTCTCATAAGCATAATGTACTTCACAAATGAGGAAGAAAACCATCCTTTGAGGTGTTGCAGGTTTACACATGCCTATCACTCCCAGGTTCAGACCCACCATCCTTAGAGTAATTCCTATTTTCTCTTTCTTCTTCTCTCAGTTAACATGTTAAAAATTGGCATGGCACAGCCCACCACACCCCTCTTTCTACTTTACACAAGGCCTTTTTACACTGAAGTGGAAACAAACTCTGGAACAAGTGAAAATCCAGAAAATACACAACTTGGACCGGTGTTCAATTCTGTATCACAATACTGAGTAGTTACCAGATGGTATTAAAAGTCAGACTGATTATGTGAACCGATGTCACAAACTTATTAATAAAAATAATTAACAAATGTTAAACAAAAGATACTGAATTCAATTCAGAATATCATTTCACATTAAGACTTTTGGAAAAAAAAAAGAAAATGCAATGAACTCACCAGAGACAGGAAGCTGAAAGTGGCTGTTGAAAATAAACGTTACGGAAGTCAAGTATTCTAGACGAGACAGGGGAAGAAAAAAAGAAGAGTGGCGTTCTGTGTTCTTGGCTTTTTCAGATGGACTTTTTTTTAGCAGATTAGAACAATTATATTCTTGAAAGGACAAAAAAACCCAAAACCTCAAGAGGTAACCAGAGACCACTGCACATTCAGGCTAAATTAGTCCTGGCAACTGGGTCTAGTTCATCTGGAGGCAGCACTGACAGCAGACCCAGATACAGTGTGACGAGAAAGAGTGGAGAGGTTTAGCGTAAGTCAGCTTCCTGGTGAGAGCTTCTCAGCTCTGCCTGTGTGGGTTTGTTGTGGGTTGGTATATGAGTGTATATATCTTTCTCTCTGTGGTGACTATGGGAGCAGATGTAAAAACCTTGACTGTGGGGGAGGGGGGCAAAACCTCCAGCCTGCAGAAAGTTTTCTCTTTGCACTCTGCTGCTCCTACAGCTGCCTCCTCTCTGCTACCGGGGCTAATGGCATAGGGCAGCCCAGCAGCTCCAATGTGAGTAGAAACGGAGCAGACTGACAACTGCCTGGTAGTGCTACACGCAATTCACACTCCAGTAGCATGAACGAGACTTGGGATACTTTTCTGCAAGCTGGAATATGGTCCTGCCTTTAAAAGGAGAGTACACATATTTAGTTGACTTTGTGCAAGAGCCAAGGCAGGCACTTTTGGGCTGATTCAACATTGGCTTTGTTGTAATAGAGTGAGGATCCCTCTGAAGCATTGATTAGGATTGATTAGTAGTATCATTTTATCAGTATGTTCTCTCTTCTACCAGCATAAAGAGGCTGAGCAGGTGGAGGGACTACAGTCATTGAGACTCCCACCTTTCCCAGCATAGACAAATTGAATTGGCCAGATTCTCATCATTTGCAGATTTCCTACACTGAAAGCAAAGCTGTGATGATAGTTTCAGGATTTCAGGTGTCTATGGTCTACACCAAATGGATGTTGTCCATTTTATGTGATTAGGCAATCAGACTACAGGGATGGCATTCCTGTCCCATATTCCTTAAGCAGCCCGAGCACACCAGCACAGCAGAAGAGCTGCCCCAGGGCTGAACACGAGGGGCCCGGATGACCAGTGCAGTGGACTCTCTGGTCCTCAGGCAAAGCAGTGGGTTCCCATAAGCTTTGAAACCCAGAGGCACAGAAATGGAATCCAAGTACTTTTCAGCAAATATTTTGGGTCAGTAAAGCCACTTCAGACCATCTCTAGCCATGAAATAGTAGGAACAGGCTGCCCGATCCATATTGAAAGCTATGAATTTTATGTTCCTTGCAGGAGGGGAACTCTCTGAAGATAGCTAGAATTTGTCCACTTTAACAATGTGACAGTTCAGTGCATTCCAAGATAAATCTTGCTTCCAAGAAAGATTAAAAAACAACAGAATAATTTACAAGATAAAGCAAAAAGGAAACAAAAAAGAAAATTTATGTGTAGATGAAAGGCAGTTCTGCCAAAAATATAAATAGCTGCTGAAAGAACACAACCTATGTAAACATGCTGTAAACCCCTGCCGATACAAAGCTCACAGAACAGTGTTGCACAGTTAGGATGGGGAATCAATTTGTTTCTTTCCCTATGAAATGAAATTGATTCAGTTAATTACCAACAGGGATGAAGGTAAGGAAGGCATTTGTGGAATTCTGTTGTGAGAAATAGAAACCCAGTCGGGCAATTTCCAATCAGAATTTTATTATATGATAAAAGCAAATTCAGCGCTGGGTGATCAGGGAAGGGGTTCAACAACTCCCAACGCCTGTCACACCCAAAAAGTACAGTTGTTCTACATTTATTTCCAGTTACTACATGAATATTCATTATACATAAGTATAAACATTACACATTGTTAGGTACATGAGTATAAACATTACACATTGTTAGGTCAGACATTCCACAGATATTTCTTAACCAGAATGTTATCTATAAGCATCCATAATATATTGTTAAATCAGACTTTCAGCAGATGTTCTTGTTATCTATACAAAGTTATAAATTTTAAGAAAGGTGCTATTATCTAGCTAACTAAACAAAATTCTCTCACTATAAATCCTACACAAGGTAAAAGGGAGGTAACTTGTTTTATCTCTTTATAGGGGCCCAATTAAGTTTTACGACTTGTTTTTCTTTTCTCTCCAGGTCATATTGACCTTACACTGTTTTCTCTTAATTAGCTCGAATCATTTTCTCAGTTTATCACACTGTTTTATCAAAATCTTCAATCTTCCTTTTTGTTTGATACAAAATTTTGGATAAGGGGCTTCAGTGCACTATCAGCTTGCATGAGAACTTGTGTTACTTAATTTTCACATTAAATATCTATTCATCTGTTTTTAACTGAGTTTGGGTTTTCCAATACCAGCGTATGCAATCAGGCAGTAAGTTTCCAATGCAGTTGTGATAAAGAAAATCAGACACCCAAACACTTTGAAATGTTTCCATCAGAAACATTCAGAACTGTCAGAAGCGGAGAAATAAATACTATTCACAAATTATACTGATATAAATGTCTTTGGTGATCATCACCAATTATAGGTCTGCCACAGAGGGCAGATACTTAAAAATGCAACTACTCCTTTCTGTTTCGTGCTGAGACTAATCCAGATGTGAGGCCATCTGGCTAAGTAATTTGCATTTCTGGAAAAAGAGTGCATCCATCTGTAAAATACTCCGTAAACAACTTTTGAACCGAGTGAACCCAGCAAATAAACAAGACTGGAGTATAAGAAATGTGATCTAACATGTCTTGATTTCCACCCGTTTCCCTCCATTGTGCTCCCTGGAAGATCTTGACTGAATAACTTCCCAAAAATAGTTAAATTTGATTAATTTGAGACCTTTCTTAGGGATACACATGCTTCACACATTTGCACCATGACTTCACTTCCAAGTGACCTGAAACTCCAACAAAAGACCCTCAGCTCCATGCTCTCTGCACAACGTGTAAGCAATGCCAAAGGTAGGTGTAATCTTGCACCCTGACCTGTTTCACTTGATCCTTGGTTGGTTGTAGGGCTTTTTTTTTTCGTGTGTGTGTCTTTCTTATTGCAATTTTTCTGCTCCCTTTCACCTCTTCATGCTGTGCAATGAAGGGGAACATCTGGCTGTGAGAGAATAGTTAATACATTAAAAAATACATCACTTCTCCTTTTTTTAAAACTCATTATGAGTCATTATCTGGGATATTCAGAAACGAACACTTTGTTGTGGAAAATAATTACAGGGCAGGGTGGAGGATTGCAATTTATTTTTGCATTGAAAAGTAAGCTGAGAGCAAAAAAAATAAGAGTCTTAGACTGCAAGTAACTAAGGGTTTGTAACAAATTATCTAAAATGACTTGACCCGGGGTTTTGACGAGGTTCAGTTTACAATGAAAGGTCACATTTGTTCTTCATCCACTGATTTCTGTCCCTCTTGGAGAAACCAGCAAGCGGCTGACGGTAGAAAGGTGTTTGAGATTAAGGAAGGAAGCCGCTCCTATCCCCCCTGCCTGATTTCCTTTTTGTTCTCAGATTCACTCAGCTCTGATTTTGGTCTGCCTCAAACAGTATGGTATGTGCAATGCTCAGGAAGTAAACCATGACATTCTTGATATTCACTGTATTTAGCCCTACAAGCCTTTCTCCTGTCCTACAGGATCATTATATTATAGAAAATAAAGCTAATAGTTGCTTATATCTAGCCACTGCACCAGAGCTATAAACAACATACAAGAAGAAGTGTGCTTATTTTGTTTAAAAAAGAGCTTAATTCTTTTTTTTTGTATCCGTTTTAAAGAGAGGCAAGAAAAATATATGTGGTCAAGATGCCAGGTGTGCATTGGGAAAACTGGGACGCGGCTATTTGCTTTCCCTCAAGTTTCTGGGCAGTACAGGGGAAATCAGGTAGGTTGCCTGGACTCATTTCAACCTGGAGGTGAAAGTACTCCCTTCCCAGGAACAGATACCTCAGCAAAAGGGAGGCTTTCTCACAGTATGGCAGAGAGCATTGCTGAGAGAGTCTTTAAAGCAGACCAGGCACAGCAACTTCTGCAGCATTACTCAATGTGAGAGCACTAAATCTGAAAGGGGAAATGAAAACACAGTTTCATAAGAACTTCCTACATGATTCTGGTGGAACTCTCACGCTATTTACTATGCCTTGATGAATTTAGGCTCTGGCTCCTCAGCAAGCCAACGTTGTGTGTTACACATCCTCGGGTTTGGTATTGCAGTGGCACAAACTGAAGCATGTGGTGATAAAAGAGAATCCAAAATCTAGCATGAGACAGGTTTCTGACACATTGTGTGGGCAGGACTAGAAGCCTTCAGAGGGTGAGTCAAAGCCCTCCAGCATACTGAGGCTGGAGCATGCCTGACAGAGAAGCCTAAATGAGGGAACCTGCCTGAAATGCCACCCCCTCCCTATGGACCCTCCTGCCTCCCTCCTGATAGTTCAACCTTCAACTCAATCCAGGTGGAGCTCCGTCCCATGCCACTGCCTCTTCCCCTTCAGTGACAGGCTTGCCCTATGCTTCAGGTGGCCACAGAGCAGCCCTCCAGCTACCCCTGCTCTGGGAGATTTGGCCCTTGGCCACCCAGTTTCTGAGTGCAGTGCTGAGATGGATCCAAGGTACTGAGCAATTCAGACCTGGGCATGCCTGAGCAGCATAGACCTCTGAGGCCCAAAACAGATAACCCTGAGTTGTGCAATTGATGATCAAACTTGGGTTTAGCGTCAGCATTTGCATGCAGGTATCTACATTCATCCAGTCTCTTTTCAAGACTGATGCAGCTCCATACATTAAACCCATACACTTGTGCAGGTAAGGAAGACAGAGATTTCCCGATTTTCTGAGATGAGAGCTTTCTGCTATCTTAACTACAGAACTACTCTTTATGACTTCTACGTGTTTTCTCACTGTGTACAGATTAATAATTAGCTATTTCTCTGGGATATTTCTGTTGAGATGATATTGTCAGCAACATGTGCTGTGACAAAACTAATGTTTACACACCTTTTTATTTCTTGCAATCTGATATGCAGAAGCCAATGTCCTAACTTCCTAGCACAATTCCTCCTGTGACGTCAGCACAAAACTGGTGGTCAGCACAATGTACAGGAAGTGCTTTCCTCCAGAGCAACATGAAAACCTACATCCTCTTTCTTGAAAGTGAAGCATGCTTAGGAACTGTGCTGAGGGTTACTTAACTCCCCCATCTCTCATTCTGGGACAGCCTGGGAAAGCAGTCCCATCACAGAATAACAAAATGTTAAGGGGTTGGAATGGACCTTGAAGATCATCTAGTTCAAAGCCCCCCTGCCATGGGCAGAGACACCTCCCACTAGAGCAGGTTGCTCAAGGCCCTATTATCCAGCCTGGCTTTGAACACTGCCAGGGTTGGGACATCCACAACCTCCCTGGACAATCTGTTCCAGTGTCTAAGAGCAAATTCAATTTTCTTCCCTCAAATCAGATACTATTCCCTAAATATCCATCCACCCTACTGAGGGAAGAAGATTCTTTCCGTGGTTGTCCACTTGTTATTTTTTTTTGCTGGAGCTCTTGGGAGACATTTGCCCCCCACTGGGCAGCCCTGCGGCTGAGGGCAGCCCTCTCCAGCCGGCAAACGCTTCCACAGGCAGAACGTGCAAGCCCACATCTGTTTCTCAGAACCGTCTGACTTGTGCAGTTTTCTCTCTCCCGAGGGACATTTACACTTCCTTCCCCCATCTGGATTTAATGCAAAAATAATCCCAGTGGCTTTGCCGAAGCCGTGGAGGAGGTTCCAACAGTTTCCTCTGTGAAGTCACACCCAACTAGAGGGTGCCCCGGCTTCAGGGCCAGCCGAAGGCCCAGAGTCGCCGATATGCTCCCAGCGCGGCTGTCCGGGGCAGCAAACGCTGGCGCAGGGGGGCAGCGCTGGCAAACGCTGGTTCCTCCTTTGGCTCCGCCCGGGAGGCGTCCAGCTGCGCTGTGTCGCAGCAGGGAAGTGCCGGGGGACGCCGCTTTCCTCAGCAGCCCCGCTGCAGCCGCCCCGGGGCTCCCCCTTCCCTGCGCCCGTGCCCCAGTCAGCGGCGGCTCCGGCAGCTCGGCGCCGGGCCCGCGGAACCGCCGGGCCCGCGGAACCGCCGGGCCCGCGGAACCGCCGGGCCCGCGGAACCGCCGGGCCCGCGGAACCGCCGGGCCCGCGGAACCGCCGGGCCCGCGGAACCGCCGGGCCCGCGGAACCGCCGGGCCCGCGGAACCGCCGGGCCCGCGGAACCGCCGGGCCCGCGGAACCGCCGGGCCCGCGGAACCGCCGGGCCCGCGGAACCGCCGGGCCCGCGGAACCGCCGGGCCCGCGGAACCGCCGGGCCCGCGGAACCGCCGGGCCCGCGGAACCGCCGGGCCCGCGGAGCCTCCCGGCACCCACGGCGGAGCGGGGCCCGTGCTCCCCGCTCCCTTCTCCCCAGCGGCTGCTCCTCCCCCGGCCCCGCTCCCGCAGCCTTGCCCTGCCCGTCGTTGCTGCTGTGTGTGCTTTAGCCTTGTCAGGAAAGGAAACGCCAGCACAAACCGGGCCTCCTGCCCCAGCTGTCAGAATCCGTTGGGGTTCCTCTTGGTAAACTCAGCAATCTGAAGGCAGCAGCTGGTTTTGTTTTGAATGTACTTTTCCCACTTGCTCCTGTTTCAAAGAAGGAGATAGGGATAGTTAAACTTTGCAGCCTAAGGCTCTCTGCTGCACCAGCCAGTTTCTCCTTTCTAGTCCACGAATATGGAGATGTTGCCCCAGAACAAGGCTCAGAACAGGAGCTTGACATAGCTGCCCTGAACTGCTCCCAAAGCATTCTTTTGTGAAAGCCTCCCTGCCAGCCAGGGTGCATCATCCCTACGGGGATGTTTTGCTCTCCCTACAGCATATCAAGATAGCTACTTTACATGGTTATCTTGATAAGTGCCAAAAGCTGAAGCTCCCAGTCACCCATGACTTGTCTATATAGCACTGCAAGACAGTGAAAGGAGATAATCTGGAAAGGCAAGAAGGATAAATAGGTGAGGAAGACTACTTCTGCCCTGATGTTGAGGTAGGAATCCAAGGCAATGCCTTGAGAGTTAGCTGACGTGGAGCAAGCACTACCATGCAGAACTCCCACAGGCCAACTTGACAGGACTACCATTCCTCCATTTACAGACCAAACTGATTAAATCTGTGGCACAAGCAGAGGACTTCTTCCACTGCTTGCTCTGCTGGCCATGTGTATGACTAGCCACGGATGTGTACACAGGAGGAGAGTCCTGTTTCTCAAGATACACAAAAATAATACTGATCCATACAGTTGCTTACCATGCTTGTAGAAAGAACATTTGTGATTGCAGCACTGCCACACTCAAATGTTCTACTGCCCAAAGAAAGTTGTAGATATCAGATCCTGATCACACAGAGGAAATGCATCAGCATTTAATATTTTGCTATTCTTTTAGCATTCCCCAAGTCATGTAAGATTTCCCTGGGCCATGTTCCCTACTCACAAGGACTACACAAATCTAGTTTCAGCCCCAACACCATGACAGAGGACACAAAACGGCTTTGGACAACAGGGAGGAAAGAAAGCAAGATGGTGGCTTTTATCCTGTGATCCCCCTCAGTCCTTTCTGTTTCCACAGCTTGAGTTAAAGGTCAGAGAGCATGACAGCACAAGGGTCTCAGGCCTCTAGTGGCACTGGGGATACTGGGTCTTTTTCAACCCTTGAAGTGGTAGGGATTGCCATAATGTCCACTGTGGATTGGATGCCAAAGCCCCATTTGTTCATCAAAAGCTACCAAAACTGCAAGTCTTCCCCACCGCACCCCTAAAGTCTGCAACATAGGGTTTTTTTCTCAGTCAAGACAAAGATCTGTGTAGTATTCTTAAAATATAAGTGTTACATAAATAAAGCTAAAAGAGGACCCCAAACCTGAACATGGTACAAAACAAGGATGTTGAGCCCTCTCTACTACATTTAATTCAGCAAGACTTCTGAATGGTGTGTGCCAGTGACAGCCTGCTCTGAGAGGCTGGTTTGGATATACCACCACTGCTCTACTGGAGCTGAGGGAAATGGGCTGTCCCAGCAGTAGTGCCCCATCTATGCACGGTACCCTACTTCGTGATCCTGCGGCCCCTCAGGGTCTCTGGACACCTCTGCACTGCCCACTCACCACTCGACACCTTTCCCTGTCAGGTTTTGCAGATCCCTTCTAGTGTTTGCCATCCTCTCAGTTCACTGCCATGTCCTTACTTGGTGCCACCATCCATCCTCCAGCATAATGTCCCTCATGCTATAATGCCTTTCTTCTTCATCTCAGCAGTCTCTTGATGTTGGTCTGGATCCAGTAGCCAGCCTTCTCCACAGCTCTTTCAGGGCCTGTGCCTGCACCTGGCAATGTGGTCGCTCAGACATGGCCCATCTACATGCCTCCACAGATCTTCCCCACAAGATTCTTACAGTTTACAAGGCATCTCTGTACTCTGTAGGCTCCCTCAACATCTCCCTGATGAATTTTCAGCTGAGATGTGGGGGAGAAGGCTGCAGAACTGATTCAGCATCCCAAAGGCTCTCCAGCAGTCAGGGACACAGGGCAGACTGGCCCAGAGAGTGGATCCTCTGAAGGTCCTAACTGCTATTTAGGACAAACACAGGCCCCGTTCGTAAGAAGGGTTCTCTGAGCTTGTCCTCAGAAGACAAATGCCTCCCAGCTCCATGCCATGTAGAAGCCACTCAGGCTATAGGAAAAAGGAAACTTTTAATGATGCTGACTAGTGAGAAGCCACTGCTAGCCCAGCCAGGCCCCCATGATGCAGAACGTCAACCAATATCAAGAAGATCCACCCCCATGAGGGTTTTCAAGATGACTGTGCCACCAACAACATCCACAGTGGCACAGGACTTCACCTGACAGCACAATGCCTTTATATCCATCTCCAAACTGATATATCCATCTCCAGACTGATCTGTCCAAGCAATCAGACAACCAACCTACAAAAACCAACACAGGGCAGCTAACAGAGAAACCCCAGTATTATCATCTTCAAACCTGAGTGCAAAAATAAACTTGACTTGCCCATCTTTAGCACAGAGCAGCAAGTATATCTTAAAAACAAGCTACCCCACCCACCTGTAAAGAAGAAAGAAAAGTCACCAAAATAATACTCTGAATACAGGATTCTTCCCCTGAGAAAGAAATGAACAGCTCGTGATATGTAATAACATCCTTTAGTGCCTGTCATACAGAGAAACAACAGCTCTGGTAAGGGCACAGTAAAAACTGCTGCCACCATCACTCTGTGTCGTTGGAAAGGGCACCACCTATTGTCGAGCTACCTGATATGTTCCACCAGCAGACACAACATCTAATTATGCTTTAATAATCTGGGCTGAAAATTTCTGTTTGCCTCCAGCAATATTTTTATATTACCACACTTCAATTGTCAGTCTTAAAGTTCAAATTATTTCCCTAAGTAAGGACAGAGAAAAATATTCCATTTCTTATATTTAAATAGGGAGAAAGACTCTCAGAAATCCCCAGAGTGCTGCTGAGGAGCTGGAAGCAGAGAGGAGCTCAGGGCTATTCCAGGACTCAGAGGAAATAAGGGCATGAACTGAGACAGAGGCTAGTGAATCAGGATGGACTGTTTAGCAAGGGTAGGAGTTAAGCTGGATCTCCACATTGAACTGCAGTCCTGTCTCCAGAAAGAAGGCAAGTCCAGTAGCAGTACCTCCACTTTAAAACGTCACAACTTGAGAGACTAATCCCCAAGCTGGTCCTTGAATCACACTGCCAGAAGGAGTCCTGTAAGGAGGGAGCACACAACCAATAAGGCATTCACCAATGTTGTGGTCTAGTAACTGTGGCTTGGGATCAGCCATGTCAGATCTAAAACAAGATCTGCCAAGCTTTCTGTGTTCCCAAAACCTGATTTCCCTGCTCTCTTGAACAGCTTGTGTGTTAGGGCTTTGCTGTGGAAATGCACAAGGCTGCCTTGTTTCTGCAGCAATCCAAGCTACAAGGCAATTAAGTCATAGGAACAATTCTGCAGGAGTCAATTTGGGTCGAAGCCAGTTGTCCTTAAACTGAGCTAATAAAATAGGCTGCACTCTAGCCAGCACTTTGGTCTCGGGTGTCTTTCTGCACTTCCAGGACAACACAAAGGAATATCTGCATCTGACCAGAATAGAGCAGGCTTGGGAAAAGCCAGACAGGCTTACTTAGCTCCGAATCCACAACAGTACAGAGTTGTGCTTCCTCAGGATCCAGCCTGTCACTGGCCCTGACCTAAAGGGTCTTGCTAAATCAGCTCTATCCAGAACACTTCCCTCCCCCAAATTCCCATGATTCCAGAGGTCAGACTGGCCTCTCTCCTTGACGTACACCACTGCTCCACTCTCCCATAAGTAAGCTAGGCTGGAATAGCATATTTTCAGCTACTTCAGGCCAAAAAAAAAAATCTGATACCATGATCCTCATTTTCAGTAATGTGAGCATTCAGCTCCCACTTGCAACACTGAAATTCAGGCCACAAATCTGTTCCTTTTTATGCCTGCAGATGGTTGCTTCATCTCCCTACAGATGGTATCCTGAAGCCAAGGCAAGTGGCTTTCATGAAGAACTCCAAGGCTACTATTTGACAAAATCTGATACAATCTTAAGCCTGGTTTTCCAAGGAAAGACAGAACGCTATAATTGTGGCAAAAAATCTTTATTAAACTAGTTTGTAAATTCCTTTTCACATTAGAAATTCCAAATGCAGATTACAAAATTATTTCAGTAAAAAATGAAAGTTAAAGTTAACAGCAAAATTACAACTTTATACAAATAAAAAAATCATTTTTTATTTTAATTTAAAAATAGAAATTTATATCTTCCAATATACTTACTGGTCCTAACAGCTTTTACAAGTGGTAGCTGCAGTACTAGGTCTTTTCACATGCATATTCACATATAGTCATTTAATCCTCTGCACAATTTATTTAGCTGAAATAGCATGAACAGTTGGGCTTTGGTTGGGTTTGGGGGAGGTACCACATGATATTAAAAGCAAAAGCCAAAGTATCTTGAAATATTTTTTAAAATTACATTTTTGCCCTACTACTTTTACAATCAACTGAAATGTTTTTCAGCGGTCACATTACTTGAGACAAACTTTCTGCATTGCACCTCTGGGTCTTTTTTTTTTTACTGTAAGATCACCCATCAATGTTAGCACAAGCATTAATTTTGTACAATAAAAACAGGATAATTTTCCTAAATTAAAATGTGGGATAACTATTAAAATGTTTTGTAAAAAAGACACCAAAAGTCATATATTAAAGTCATCACAATCACATGCTGCCGAAGAACAGAATAAAAAGTGGTACACAAAATAGGTATTTTAACAGTCGCACATTATTTTAGAGTGCTGGTGGCAATACTGCTGTTTTAATTAAAAGTGTAAGATGATACAGAATTTACATGATACTTCAGGATTCTCACTGATGTAACTGTAAAAGACATCAGAAAGGCTGGAACTTCTAAAATGTAACCTACTTTAAAATACCATTTGGAAACAATTATATTTCATAGAATTCGTCACAGAATACATTATAAAACCAGTCAGAGAATACAAGATCTCCAGTGTTGTGTTTCTGGAATACTGGCAAGTAGCTGAAGGCATGAAGATCCTTACTGATAAAACTCTACTTACTTAGATCCTTACTGATAAAACTCTACTAACTCACTGTGCACTGAACTCCTGCTCCATTCTGCATCAAGCTCAGCACAGCTTTTAAGCACATGCTTGAGATCCTAAAAAAGAAAAAGCTTGAGCTCATCATATTTTCTCTGAGTTGGAACTGCAGTGCCTCGTCTTGAATTGCTGAAGCTGACAGAGGCTCTGTCACTATTTTCAATAGAGGCAAGATTGGTTCTACCCATGTTACAATTTTAAACCATCATCTTCCATCAGAGTTCAGCTGGTAGTCAAACAACTTATACTAGGTGAATGATCAGCCTATAACCAGACAGGGCTTAGTAAGTAGAGTACTCTAGCGAACCTCAACCTGTACCCAAAAGGACAATTAAAAGAGGAAGAGAGAAAACTACCCCAAACTGCTCTTAAGCTGTGAATTTCTCTGCTGACTTTTGACAGACTGAAAAAAAAATTCTCCAAGCAATGGGTGGAGCAATGGAGGTTTTGCCCTGAACATTTTAAACATATTTATCCAAATAGGACTAAGAGATGGAAAAATAATAGGAAAGACACTGAAGCTCAGCGGGGACAGCTGCTTTTCTGAAGAGTCCTGGCCCACTTCCAGAGACTGTTTATGCACTTTTAATTCTTCAACCTCATTTGTCCCCTTGATCTTGCACTCTTAGCTTGCAGTGGCGATTCTGAAAGAGGCTCAGGAAGTGGCGACTTCAAAAATAGTCCCGAGCACATTGGTCAGAGCATTTTCTGGGGAAGTGAGAGTCAAGTGCCACCATTATCATCCACTTGTGAAGCCAGAAGGCAAAAAGCTGAGTGTTTATCTCCAGGGTAAAGTTGTCAACTAGATTATGATGAACAGATGGACAAGACAACAACTCTTTCTGTTCATCTTTCAAAATAAAATCTAAGCTGTCTTTGTTCACGTCGGGAATGGTATGAATATGCTTGAATGAATCAGGCTCCCTCCCAAAAAAACCAGAAGTGTTGGTACTTTCCTGTTTACAAGCACATCACTGTAGGGCTTGGGCATCCAGAAGCTCAACACGCAACAGCCACTCAGGCCAATCAACAGGGCTGGTACTTCAAAGAGCTGTCCCAGAGAGTTGTACCTTAATTTGTTATAAACAGTAGCACTAAGGAAAACCTGTTCAGGAGCACAAGGGACAGCTCTTGGTGAAAAATAAAAATCCTAGCTCTGCTGGGACAAGACAGCTGATAGTCTGAACTGTTGTCTTGAGGCCAACTGCCTAAATGGCACCTCAGTCCATTTTTAGGCCCTGTCACAGGGGATGAAGTGTGGGCTTCACCACACAGGACATCGTGCAGTGGCAGCGCTCTGCTAGTGCTGTTGGGGGAACACAGGTCTTTTGAATTTCACCACTGGTTACCAGAGCAGGCCCGAGAGAAAGAAACAGAGAAAGGACACAACTCAGATGAACTAAGTACCCACAAAAAATATAAAACTTATTATGGCAGTCTATTATTTTAGAAAGAGTCCCTTTGATTAAGTATTATTCAAGCTACTCTTCCACTTGAAATCACCATGAAAACATTATTATATCTGTTGAAGCATGACAAACTCATTTTTAAGTCTACTGTGCATTACATTCACTGTGTATGTATCACAGTAAACATGGGTATTCAGGAAACACCATGTCTTTCAGCTTGTCAGCAACTTATACAGACACATTTTCAAGTGAAATCTATTTCCGTGGACAGCTTTTCTCACAGAAGTTCCTTGCGTATTAGTACCCATGCACACACATATGGATTCATACACAAACTCTTATGTGCATGTAGGTCCTGCAAAAGTGGTTAAAAACTTTAAAAACACTCCCATTAATCTTTAACCTATTAATATTATTCCTAATACAAAACTCAGACCTGTTCTGAAAAAGCCTTAAAACAAAATTCATATTTTAAGAATATGAATATTTCAAGAGGCAAAGATGTAAATAAAAGTAGTAATGCATTCTAGAAGATATTTCTATTTTAAAAAGTGTTCTGATTGTCTACTGGAAACACTTGCCAAAAGTACAGATGTTTATATTTCATTGTGGAGAGGTTTTGTTTGCAGTTTTTCTATGTCGTTTTGGATTTTTTTTTTTTTTACATAGGTATTTCTAGATGCTTATGCCACACCACCAAAACCAGAACTTTTGTACTCCCAGACTTTTCCAGTCAGGCAATTACCAGTGCAGTATTAGCATTCACTTTGATGTTAAAAATACATTTAAAATGTTTCACAATCATATTTTCTACAAGGAAACCAAACTTAATACACAGAGAATGAAGACATCACTATTAGACACTTATTAAGTGAAAGAGTACTCAATGTGGTTCACTTAAAAAGCCATAAAATAAGAAACGCTTTTAATCCAGTAGATGGTAAGGGCAAAAATGTAAGGGCATTTCCTACAAAATTACAGTATTAGCCATGTGTAAGAAGAGACTGAACTACAGCATTGTGGGTTTCCCTTTAACAGACCACACTAAGTCTGCAAAATTACCAAACACGGAGCTGGTCTTAATGCACAGGCCATTATATGCAACTTCCAGACTTGAGAGAAGTTTAGAATGGAATAAAGACAATAGAACTGGTCAACCCATCACAACATAACCACTAAAGCAGACTTTTGAAGAAACCTGGAAATATTTAGCACTCAGCTGTAACTGTATTTGAAATATCAGTAGTTGCCCAGTTTCACCCTCTCCTTTTGTTCTTCTGAAGGGTTTAGCACAAAGTTCTGAATCACAAAATAACTTTGCACAAGGTACATGTTTTAAAAGCACAGAAGTCACGGCAATCAAAATGTGTGAGGGTCAAAAGAAATAGATTAGGTATGCTGAGAAGACAGTTATATTTAAAAATCGTACCTTAACTTCCCTTTAAGACATCACGTATTTCTCAGCAAAATTCTTGATCTGCATTTCTGAGACTTCAAATCCCTTAAGTATCTTCTTGTTTTGCAGGTTCAAAAAAGGATCCATTTCACACAAAAATTTTATTGGAAACATTATGACAAAACCACTTACTGTAAATTGAAATAATTTCTAATAAAATATCATCCTTTAAAACAGATTACAAAATACTAGTACAGTTGTTCAAAACATCGGTCTTTTTTCTGTAATCTGGATGTAATCACACACCTCAGTTTCTATATTCCTCTTCTCCACAACTCCTCAAATGAGCATGACTTTCAGGCAGCCTGGTTTTATTTCTGTGAACCTATAAAACAAGAGAAAATGAAGCTTCACCATGAGAGCTATGTGCAATGCCATCTCCTTCAATCTTCAAACATATGGAAAGTGGTAAGGTTCTCAGTCAAGGATACGTGCATGTGAGTCAAGAAATCAGCACTATGTCCTCGGATGTGACAGTAAAGGAGGATTTTACAGAATCTGGAGATGCAAAGAGCTGGAAATAGCAGAAACTAAGATAAAAATTTAAGAAAAAGCTGCCCAGTATTCTTGGTTATATTCATTCTGCTCCTCTATTCCTGCTCCCCATTCACTCCCTCTTCTTTAAAAATGGATTTTAACTCTTGTATTCTGTAGAAGGTAAGAAGGAACTGGGGACAGAAGTCTATGTTATTTTTGAGTCACCTTCACAAAGTGCTCTAGAGAAAAAGCAGCAAACACACTGATGCTGGCCCAGACTTGCTAAATTGCTATCCCCCATAAACTGAGCACTAAGGCAGGTATTGAGAACCAATAAAAAGCAGGATTAACAACTTTTCACAGTAAAGACAGCAACCTTGAATGGAAATATGTAATTGAACTATCTCAGAGGAAAGGATCTAACATGTAACAGGTGCCCTGTATAAAGTGCTATTGTGTCACACGATCGCACTGGATTTGTGAAACAGCAAATTTACTTTAATCTGAAACAGCAGACCTGCCTTAATCTCTGTAGTTGCTTAATAGTATTCTAAAACTAACTTCAATTTTCAGTTAGTTAAATGTGGGTTGAGAAAAAAAATGTATCATTAACAAAAATCTAAACTCACCTGAAGTTGTGGGTTGTGAGGTATCTGATAGCTGCTGGTCTGATGCGAGCAACTCCTCCCTGACTATGGCTTCCTCTTCCCGTGATAACAGTGAGATATGGTTTACCACCAGTCTGCTGGTGCTCTGTAACAGCAGGAATTGTAACAGTTAAAATTTTCCCTCAGCAGAGAGTTGGCATTTAGTATATACCTTCAATGCATTCTTCTGAAAACTCTCACTACTGATTCAGAACCTTGCTTTGCCATGCTGGCTATGCATGTTTTATGTAAAAATAGCCATTTTTCCCCTGTTCTAAAAAAGATACTCTGAAAAACAAACATAGTCAAGCTTTTTAAATCTAGATTGCTTGCAATATGCATGTTGTGATCATCACAAAATCCTTCTAATTTCATAGCAGCTTTACTGTTTCTGTCATCTAATACTTAACTGGAATTTACATCCTGTGACATAAATTTAAATTGCAAAATTAAAAGAGGTGAGTGTAATTTCCTCAATTTTTAAGGGACACTATTGTTTCATATTGTATCTTAAATTAATGTGAATAAAGAAATATCATTTTATTGAATAAAGAAATTAAGAAGAAAGAAAATATAAATCCAGCATTTTTGACATTTAAGTCACACTTATTTGGATTATTTTCTGCTATGCTGGAGCATGATCAACAGATCAAAACATTCCATGAGCTGTATCTAGCCCTGATAACAAAAGAAATTGCTCTCTTCCCAGAGATAACTTCTGAACCTCGACTGATGAAGAGTTTGAAAAAGAGGAAAAAAAATATATTAAACTGGATTCTCAAAACGAGCCAAGATTTGCCAGTTTGGAATTATCAGTTCTCATGACATCTTTCCTCAACTACTCCCTCTCTCTCGCATAATTTTATTTAGGTTTTATATCAGTTTACTGCCAGCAAAAAGTTCCTAGTATTGACCTCTTTCCCATGTCCATACACTGAAATTAACTTTTTTTTTAGATTTAGGTGAATGGACTGCACAGAGAGCCACTACTATCAATTCCAGGACTCGTGATGTAAATGCAGTTCTGGAAATTTAGCTCTAAAAAGCATTAGGTTACAGCTTAAATTACACAAATATCATTGCAAGAATAGCACAACATAATGCAATTTATTGCATATTGAAAGAAAAGGATTATCTAAGGCCCCACTGAACACTTTTGTTTATACTCTGTGGAGTAGCAGATTCAAAAAATCAGGTTTGTGCAGTAGTATCTTGTGTAAGAAATACTTCTTATAAAAGCATTCCCAGTGTGCTTAAATTTATAGGGTAAACTAGCAATGCAGAAAACGTATCTTTTTACAGCAAGTACACTCATGAAGTACTTGAACACTCCACTGGAAGAAAAAAAATGAACCCTCAAGCAAAATTGCAGAAAATGACAGGTCTGGAAGCAGCAGTATTCTGATCTCAAGAGATCCTGTCGACAAACTGATAGAAAAGTTTCTGAAAGATGGCTCAACTCACACACTTTCATGTAAAAGTTGAAGTCAATATAATCATTGTGGTTAGAATTCCAACATAATAATTTTTCTTTAAAGATTAAGAAAGCAACATAGTCCTGACAAAGTAATGCAAAGATGACACAAATGTTTGCATTATCACCTCGGTCAAAAATGTCAAGAAGGACAGACCATACAAAAAAAAAAAAAAAAAAAAAAAAAAAAAAAAAAAAAAAAAAAAAAAAAAAAAAAAAAAAAAAGATAAAACAGAAGAAAGATTTTCAAAGAAGTACGGGGGTTGGGAGTAGGGTGCAAGACAGAAAAAAGCAAGAATCATTGTCATGTCAAAGAAAAACAAACCATGGGTACTTTGAAAATAAGACAGCACAAAGCCTAGTTGTTTTTAACACACATTATTAAATTAAATTATTTCCCTCTAATATTGCCATGAATCATGATTTCTTAGTAGAAAAGGAGGAGAATAATTCTTAGGGAGTAAGAATTATTATCTAAACCCTACCTTCACTTTTTTCCTGCAGCACTCTGGACAACTGATTCACAGCTTCATCCACGTGGAGACCATGCAAATCCAACACATTCATAGGCAGCAAGGAAGAATTTACTCTCTCAAAGATTTGCACAGCAGCAGCATGGTTGGCTTCCTTCATCTTCTGCTCGTGAAGGCGACTCTTTATTCATAAGCACAGTGACTATTACACACCAAGACATAATCTAAGCTCCACACTGGTCATTGGTTTCAAAATGATAGGACTGGCGGGGTGCTTTTAGCTCACGGTTTGAAGCAGTAAAATTTATAATTGCAACAGAACTTCTGCAAGAGGCTCAGTGAGACCTACTCAAAAGGAGACTTCATGAGACCTGTTCATAAGAAACTACTCAAAGCTGGCACAAAGAAGGAATTATAACAAAAGCCTTACAAGGAAAAAAAAATGCCAGACAAGGCACATAACCATAAGGTCTTTACATAAGCTAAAAAGTTACACTCCATGCTGAGTTTCAGATTTATTCTTATAACAGCAGATTTTTATTTTCTGCAAATATTTTGCTAAAATTGTAATGAAACAATGTCACAGAAACTGCCCAATAGTTAAGGAAAAACCTGTTGACTGTTATATTTGAGGTTAAGTCTTCAGAACGCATTCCCTAAATTTCAGACAAGCCAAGAGTAAACGCTCTTTTTTTTTTTAAATAGTTGCCTATTATCTCTCCTAATACTTTTGACAGATCTTTTATGATTGACAAGGTCAATATAGCCCCTTCTGGAACGAGGGTCAAGAAGCAGTACAAAGTTAGTCATCTTACAGAGTAAACAACTACCAACTACTTCCCATGAACCTTGCAGTGATAAAGTCTGAAAGATCAAAGCAACAAATTATGGCCTTGAAGATCTGCAGGCACAGTCTGAAAAGGAATGGAAGATTTAACTCCAGGTATTAGACTGACACGGGCTCAAGAGAACAAAAGTGACAGTCTGTCTTACACTTTATTAAAATGGATCATCTGAAGTGTATTAGTGTCAGAACCAAGACACCAGCTCTGTAACTCTCACTTGCAGAGGATTCTCAAGACAAAGGCCACCAAGCATAAAGTATTTTTCATGATTAAAGGTAGCTTATTTGCCTTTTTATTACCTAAATGAAAGTGTATAATAAATGCATTTCCAGATTGTATTTCTTCATATGGCTAAGAACAGAACAAAAGAGAGGACTTGAAATTAGATTTCTATTAAAAATCATGGAGACCTTTGTTTAGAACTTCTAAAAGCTTCAAGAATGTATGAATAAAGAACATAAATTCATTATAAAGACTGATAATCAGTATTTTCTACATGCACAGTAACAATTTAAACATTCAGAGATATACCATTTATGTGAGAGCTTTTTTAATAAGCAAATTCTAGTGATTTATTATTACATTTTTTTCTGTATAATGCAATTCATAGGTTAGAATTAAATGCCTCTCTAATGTGAATTCTTACCAAATTTTTATATGCTATTAGATCAGGGAAAAACTGTTGCCTTTGAAGACATTTGTAACAGAATTTTTAAGAGTGGTGTGAATAGAAGGGTCTCCTGTGAAGGCACTAAGTGTACAGGAACGTTGGTTACAAGAACAGTTGATAATTAAAATCAAGAATATGATCAACTGCAATGATCAGCAGTAATCAAACTGGTACATACAGAGAAATGTGGCTGAACAAGACCAGAGAGCCTGTGCTCCAAGGCCAGAGCACACAAGACTAATCAGCAGCAGATCTACATGCCAAAACCAGATGAATTGTGAAAAGCCTGACATGCCACACCTCCTTTATCCCAACCCAAGACAGACTGTAGCCATAAAGACAGACAAAATGAAGAAGCAGACAGCAGGCAGCAATCTTGCCCAAGATTTATGGTGGATGAAGCAAGCGTGATTCTGTGGCAAAAGATCACATCTTAATACCTGTCTGACTCCTAAAAAGTACAAAAAACTAAAAACAGTTCAGCACCAATTAAGAGGAACCCAAGAGACATACAGAGGATTCAAAAATTGATGTTTGTTGCAGTACATGTCATACTCCAGTGAACCTGGCCAGATTGCATGGACACAAATTTTGGTGCTTACAAGTTTGTGGATGTGAGAGAGATCTAGGACAACAGAACATATGTGACTAAGCACTAAGTATCACCTTTCATGAGGTCTCACAGTGAATTTGGTTACGTAGCTTCCTGTGCCAGTATCAATTCTATGAAAGGGAGTTTACTTGTGATTGTCCCTATAACAATTACACAGGGAACAGTAACTGAGCAAATGTGTCAACTCTAGTAGGCACAATGTTTTCCTTATCACTGCCAATTCAGTATTTAAGTACCTCCCTAAATTCAGACAAAAAGCACAATATTTAAGTTTACCTGATGTGCATAAAATGCTGCCACAGGCTTCATACCCATCCGATAGGCCTCCCCAGCCTTTTTCAAACATTCTTTTCTCTTTTGCTGGTGACAAAAAGCTTCTGCTCTTAAATCATCATATTGTGGATACTCAAAGTCTTGAAATACTTCACTCAAAGGATCATCCTCTTCCTTACATTTTTTTGCCTGTAGGAATTTGCAATGTTGAACGTAAGTATGCATTGTAGGGTGTTTTCATTAACATAGCTCTGGATATCCTTATAAGTACTATTTAAAAAAAAATAAAAATACCTTCTTCTCCCGGTTTTTTGCACTGTAGGAAGTAACAATTTCATTTTGCTGAACATTTTCTTGAGCTATAACTGTTTTTACAGGATCTGCCTCCAGGACACAGTTCAGAAACTGTTCAGTTTGTTCTAAAGAGTAGCTGTAAAAGATAAGTAAAATCTGTGATCTCACTGTCAGAGACTGAAACAGTTAATGATTTACACATTCTAAGATCACCAAAAGACTTTTGCAAACTGAAAAGAAGCAGATGCTCACCCAGCAAAGTCCACCCCTCCCTGAATACTGCCAAAGGACCTTCTGATCAGATAAGTGGGTGCCAGTGTCCCATATCCTGGGTGCAGATGCCGGTCTGAGGAAGGGAAGAGGCTAAGAAGAAGCAAGTCCTGCAAAGCAGGAAAATCCCTTTTATCATGCCAATGTCCTCATCTAGCCTGGGCTATGCATCTCAAATGCTGGACCAGGACTGATGCTGGCACAATAAGCAGCTGCAGCTGTCTTCGGAGATGTCAGAGGCTCGTGGCATGGTCCCGTGACACTATCCATTCTAAAACTCCCCACCTCAGGGAGGTACAAGGCATTCCCACCTGAGCTGGAAGTGTATAATAACTGATAACATTTTTGAGTTGTGGGGGGGGGTTCCCCCAACCCCAATGGACCAAGACCACCACTTCAACCAACAGACATGGAAACTGCAATTACCAAGTTTCATCGCTGGACCCCGTGGGCAGTGACTATATACTTCTTTCCACCCTTATCCTTTCTTTCCCTTATGCATTTCCTTAAGTGTTACCTTTATGCTTTATTGCTATAGATATTATGCTTTAACAATGCTTTATTGACATAGATGCTTTAATACTGCTATGCTTTAATCTACAGATGCTTTAGTATTAACAATGCCATATTGCACAGATGCTCTAATATTGCCATGCTTTAACAGTGCTATATTGCTATGCTCTAATATTGCTTTACTGCTATAGATGCTTTAATATTACTATGCTTTAATAGTACTATATTGCTATGCTTTAATGTTGCTATACTGCTGTATAGATGATAACATACATACAGATGTTGTATTGCTGTAGAATGATAACACCCAACATGGCAACATACCTGTTCACTTTTGAAACAAAACTGTTCTAAAATAAACCCTACATATATATGTTTACCAACCCCGATTATTCAGTGCCCTTTCAGTCTAATCCATCTCAAGAGATTTATTCATACGCACCTGGGTTACCCTCCCATTTCTGGGGCGGGTCACAACACAAATATATAATAGGTGCTATATTTAACAAAAGGCATATTACAAACCTTGATATTGTTACAGAAATAGACTACATTGGAAATAAAGCACTGGAATGGAATATTCCACTGGAACAGAATATTCCACCTTATTGCAAAAAGGCTTCCTGGCATTTCTGGTGTCAACATACATGCAATCTTGGTTGACTGAATCATAATTGAGGGGCACTTGAATATTAAAAGGAAAATGACATACTAAAGTAAATTGCATCCTACCTTGATCAAAGAGACATAAGTAAATGCTGCTTTTTGGGTTGGATAAGATACTTTATCTTAAATCTTCTCTGGTCAGGGTTAGATAATACATACTAATTTAAAACTAGCTCAGTTTTCTGAAACTCTTATGAAAGAAAATCCCTGTATTTTTAGTCAAGCTTCGTTATTAAATTTAATTAAATACTACATCAGTTGCCATCAGCTTTCTAATAAGCCCTCTTCTTTATTCTTGCTGTTCAGTAAGCTAACAATAAAAAGACTGATCAAGAGTAAAGACAGATTTTGGGAAATGCAACACTATGAAGAGAATTTAGAATGTGAAAAACAAGAGATGGTGAAATGTATGAGCTACAGAGATGGATGAAGGACATATTTTAAACAGGAAAGATTTTTATAACAACCTGGACAAGCAGAATGACTGAGAGGTAGGCATGCAAACCCATGTGTAGAGACAGACACTCAAATGGCTGAGGATAAAAAAATGACATTTCTTTCCAAAAAAATTCAGTTCTCAGAAAAGTTCAGTTCTTGGATTTAAGAAGGTAGACATGTACCCCCAAAATATATTGCAAAAGAGAGAATGTCAGCAGGAAGAGATGGAGAGATGGCTCATTCCTTCAGAGTTGCTGTAGTAGCCAGGAAAGTACTCACAGCTAACATCAGGTGATGGTACTTTTCCTCTTGGGCAGATGACATTTTAACTTATTATTACCACACTCACTAATTTCTCCCACTTGATTTAAATCTCAGCTCTAGAGCAAATATGCAGTTACACTGACAATCAGCCAGTGGTCAATAGCCAGAGGCATTCTTCTCCCAGTGAAAGAAACTGTCTGTTCTCCCCCTCCACAAAAAAACAAACAAACAAACAAAAACAAGTCTACACTGAGAGGTTTTTATGCCCTTTTTGCCTTTAAGACTACCTAATTTTGCCTTTATTTAAATTACCAAAAAGTGTGCTAGTTTGTAAAAAGCCATTTTTTAGCAGTATCTTAACTCTTAATATTTAAGAAAGCAAATGTGCACTACAGAATGTTACTGAGTACCTTTTTCACAAAAACCTGTAAAGATTTCTTACTTGTTGTCCCTGAAGATATCCATTAAGAAACTTTGATTAATAGTTGGAAACATCTCAAAAAGTTGCTTCTCCTTTAGTTTAGCAGCACAGTCTTTTCTAGCTGTAGAAGGAACACGATTCTACCCAGAAGAAAAAAGAAAAATATTACAAGTTCTTGATTAGAAAAAAATATCATAACAGGGGAGCCAATCAACTTTACTGTTATTTGTTAAGATTTAAAAAAATATCTACTCAGTTGGTATGCACCCACAGCAATGACAACATGCCAGTATCAGCCTGCCACACTGATCAGCATAAGGAAGGACAGGTGAGTTCTATTATACACCACTGCAGTACTCTGCAATCATTTGAAGTTATGCAGCTGGAGCTCCCTCATAACTTGGAAAAAGTAAAAGGAGGATTTTTTAGGAGGAACTTAGGTTTTGGAATTTATTCCCTACTAGTCTATCTAGTCCACTGCTAAGCTTGTGCAAAGTCCACCTCTCTTCTCTATACTGAGGGCCTGGGGTTGAAACAACATTTTATTATTAAGCAGCCTAAACAATTTTAGTTTGCTGTATCTGAAGCTGTACTGTAATATTCTTATTTGTGAAGTCATCTGAGAAGATGACATAGTTATAACTCAAAATAAATCAGACTCATCATTCCAATATTGATTTAAAAAAAATAAAAAAAAAAAAGTGGTCAAAATAAAGCCAAGCTCCATGAATTCAAACTGAAAATAAAGCTGCAGACACGACACTTGTTTTTATCAGTAGGACACATACACACAGTTCAAAGAAAGAATCCACAAGCCATTTTTCAAAGTACAGGCTAATCCGTCCAACTTCCTATACCAGTTCAAAGCTCCTCTTTTTTAGGACAGCTGCTTATCAGAGACAATTACAAACTAAAACGCCTATTCTGACCACCAGCGGGGCAGCAGAGGGCAGTATTAGGCACAGGCCAACAGGCAGGGTATGGGAACTGTGTAGAAAATAAAGAACCAGTAAAGATCTATTAAAAATTTACTATATTCTGACAGAGGGTACAGAAACTTGTTTGAGATTAACCTCAAGTACTTATTTCAGTGTCTCATCTGCTAGAAGTGTTGTAGGTTCTCCTTACAAAACATTGAAATCAATTCAATACACTTTTAAACAAACAAGGCATGGAGCCAATTAAGAACTTTTTTTGATATTGCTGTCACAATCAAAAGCATGGCAAATGACACTGATCTTTGCTTTTGGGTGAGCAATCAAAAAAGATTCAACCAAACAGAAATGCTAACCTATACAGTGAAATGCACCATGATCTGTTTGTGAAACAATCAAAATACTACATTCTAAATGAGACTATTTTTCAAACAGAACCATCTACCAAAAGCAAACTCCTGTATCACAGTAATCAACAATACTAATTGGCACGCATTTGTCTCACAAATTCAGGTTGTAATCAGCAGCACAAATATGAGTCACCAAAAAGTCACATTCTGGTTTATTACTAGTAGTAAATCTAAACTGCATAAAAAACAGGCACTATCCATACCATGTCCTGTCTCTCCTGCATAGCTAGTTCTTCAGAAATTATTTGCCTGAGAGAAACTTTCTGAATCTGAGCATTCCAGTGATCCATAAAAGGAAAAACGTCTGATGTTGCTGGTTTTTTCATCTGTATGTCATTAGATGTGCCTGAAGCCCAGCTCATTTTTTTCTTCTGTATTTTACTGTCTGCATTCTGAGATAGCAGCATTTCTGAGTCATCTGTATCTATTTGCTGAATCAGAGTAGGACCTTCAAAAGCAATAAAAATGAGGTGACAAATAAAATACTTATTAGCTTATATACAAGCAATGCCAAAATAATTAAGACAAGTTTTTTAACCTAGACAGTTTGAGTTTTGTTAAAGAAGATTATTAATGCTAAAACATAAACCAACACATTGTTTTTACCTTCCTCACTTCCATTTTACAAAGTCTGATCATCTTTATCTACTTGGTGAAACAAAAGCAAAACAATCATACTTCCTCACCAAATTTTCAAGTGTTAAGACGTATCTTACAGCTGTAAACTACCTTGTAGATAACTTAAGTGTGTGTGTGGAGTTGTTTGCTTTTATAAGAGAATCTGGTTTTACACTTCTACGAGTTAATGGCAACAGCTGAATGAAAACTGGGTTGCCAGAGATGTTAACACTTTTTGAACAAGGCATCCACCTTCCTGCTACAATCATCTTTGACAAGAACAAACATGTGAATGTTGCATTTATGACCTCCCTCCCTCATCTGCAGAAATCTTACTCTGCTAGTAATTCTCTGACCACATCTTTTCTTGTCACAGATATTACAGAAGTCACCAAACAGCTGTCTGGTTCAGCCAGAGATTCTTTTTAAGTTGTCTGAATTACACAAAATGATAGGCTCTTTGCTTGCATCTACCTGGTATTACTGATTCTGCTTATAATTAACCTCTCTCCCCTCCCCCACACCTCCACAAGAGAAAGGTAAATGGATCCAAGGGCAATAAAGTTTAGCTTAATAAATGAATCCATCATTTTTCAGACAGAATATTTGCAACCTTACTTAAGTTTCAAAGAATTAAATCTTTTTATAATGAGACCTAAGTATTTTTACAATTAAGAAAAATATACAACATACCTTCTGCAGACAACTTACATGATTCATCTCTCCTCTGACGCTTCTAAATAAAAATAGTAAAGTCATTAGAGTTATAAGTTATAGATTTCCCAGCAAAACTTCAAGTAAACTTTTAAGTTTCTAAGTTAGCCAGCTACAGAATAAGATCTCACAGTATTTCCCAAAGATTCAATATTTTAAAAGAAGTATATTTAAGAAAAGTAATTATGAAGTGGAATTTATAAGCTAGAACTATCTTTCTGAAAATACAGACTAGAGGAATATGCCCCACTGCTAAGACTTCATAACCTTAATTAAATAAACCAAACAAAAATTTTACCCCAAAACACTCAAAGTTTCATATAGCTATGAAGGAACACAGGTTGGAGAACTCATCTCAATTAATGCACATGGAGATGTTCTGTATACAGAATAATTAATAAAAGAATTCTTTTTACATGTCAAAAAAACAGTAATAAGTTTTGGCCAGTGGAATTTTCGACCAATTTGGAATGAAATTGTGCACTATCATCCTTCTTTTTTAAGAATCTCAGTTTCACGATGAGGCACTCGTGACATACCTTAAACTTTCAACAGCGTTGATTGTTATGACATACTGATATACTCCACATATTTTAAATTACTATTATATTTTATCATTGTCCTTACACATTTAGACCAAGAAATATGGAGATGAATGGTCTGATAAAGCACAAGTGTGCCATACCACATCACAAGCAAGAAATCTACTAACCAGAATAGATTCTTTCCATTTTTCATGAATCACTTTTGCCAAATTTAGATCAATGTGAACCACACAATCCTCAACAGTCAGTGATCCTTGTGGAACAAAGAAAATACATTCATTAAAGCATTCTACAAAACTTAGCAATTAAAGTACAATAGTCAGGACTTATAAGTTCTGGTTCTGGAGATTCTGCATAAACTGTCAGGCTTGAATAAAACCTGCAACTGCCAAGTTCAACAACAACAAAAAAGCATTCCACAGAAATAGTTATCTGGTGTTCAAAAGCTCAGAAAGGGTAGGAAAAAAGCAAGTTAACTTTAATTGTATATTGTTGAAATGTGACTACCTGAACAATGGTGTTTTCTCCTTTTTTCCATTTTTCTAGCAAAACCTTCTTTTACAAAGCTATTGTTAATTTACAACAGTTTCATTCCTGAAACTGTGACTCCCCCTATTCCACTGCAATCCACATGGCAACTGCTCTTCTGTGCCACAACATACCCACCACAGCCCAACATCAGTCACATCCCTTCTTTCAAACACACAAACTCAGAGAGTCAAATTCCAAATATCACCTCTAACTCTAAAGAAAATGGCAGGAATCGTCATGGTATCAAAATGATACATCTTTTCCCTAAAAGATCTTTCTGATACTGTTTCTCATCCTTTCAAAACTAAAAAAGCAAGAAGTACATATGTGTCAAATAAAAATGCAGGGCATATTTCAGACGCAATAGAACACTTTTCTGCTATAGGAAACAAACTTTTTCTTTTGATGAGGTAGGCATGGAAGGCAAAGAGGCCAGCAGTCAAACCCACCAATAAATCAGGTATCTGGGGTATCACATCAAGTAATCTTCAGGATAAAAGAGGAAAAAAAAAAAAGAAATAAAAAGGGGGGGAAAGAGAGAGAAAACCACCAAGCTGTATATTCCTTCTATTTTCTTCTCTTCCTTTTTCAATCAGTCCGTAACTTTTGAGATGCTTGTTCAAGCTGCTTGTGGTTTCCTTAATCATAATCTCCCAGCAACAGACTAGTCTGTTTTCATCTTTTAAGTACAGCCACACTTCATCTTCTCTCTAAACCATTTATCTTCTCCTTCCCCAACTTTACTGATGTCTAAAGCTTTCTTTTTTCTTTTTTTCCTAATCAGCCACAATTTGCATATTCCTCATCATCTTAATATCTCTTCAGTTTGAATATAAGCTCAAAGGCCTGTTGTTCAAAATGCAAATAAGTCCAAGTATTTTCTTAATATTTTAAAGTATGTACATGTACAAAATACAAAGGCAAACGGAAGCATTACTGCATTTATATTTTATGCCATGCTTAATTCAGTTCCATTTTTGGATTAACAATAGCAAACAGTATCATGAGGAATTATGCAAATCTAATCCCTAAAACTGAAGCATGAAGGAAAAAAAGCACAGGCAAATAAATAAAGGTTTTCTTACCTAAACCAAGGTTTTTTCATAAAAACACAGATATAATTGTGCCCGTACCTGCATCAATGCCAACAGGCCCAAATATCTCTTTCAGCTGGAGTGCCAGTTCAGGAGGTAATGTTAGTTCTAGGCAATCTATACTGAAAGCTGCATGTGATGCTGGTACAGGGCTTTGTCTCTCGGCTTTAGCTGCAGACCAGCTTGGACTTTCAACTTCTTCTTTACCACATATCTCCTCAGAACTTTCCCAGGTTTCTTTATCCACCTCCATTTCTTTATCGCTCCTAGAACTGACCAGAAGCACATGACCCATTTCCAGTAAAGAAGCAGTCACTTTGGAATTCTCTGCATTGCCTTCTGAAGGATTAATGTCACTTTCATTATTTAATCCACATTTCAAATTGGTAGAAGTTGTGTTAGGACCATGAGGCAAAGTCACGGGTGTACAGAAGGCTGCATCAAGTTGTAAAAGTGATGGCTTATTTACAGTTTCTTCAACAAGACTCTCAGACTCCACAGACTGCTTTCCTGAAATGGACAGCTCAGTGACACCTGCTGCTGAGCTGTTTGTGTCGGTTCTAGGGGCTGCATCCATGGAATTTTTCAGTTCCTCTGTATCATTCAGTGAGGTAGCAGTGAATGAGTCAGGTACATCAGCATCTGTCACAGCTGCCTTGGCAGCCCTACTTTCTGCAATGCTGAGTGATGAGTTCTTACCTTCTGAAGCCTCAGGGATGCCACCAGCCCCAATTCCTTTCGCTGTTTGTTCGCCATCTTTGAGATTCTCATCACAGTTTGTACTTGCCTTGAAATCAAGGTCTGCAACAACTGGCTCAGCTTCTCTTACCTGAAAGCATTCAGTATCAACAGCTTTGCATAACTTTTCTTCAGAGTCTAACAGCAAACCCGTGGCCCAGTCTATGTCTTTGTTACATCTTTCATAGAGATCTTTCAGAGCTTCAAATGAAACAGACTCAAAGAGCTTACACAGTGTATCCAGCTTTTCAGAGTCATCAATACTGGTAAGTTCACTTTCTTCTACAAATGTACTTTTATCATAAGTAACTCGATATGGTATTTTTTCCTGAGAATCTGAGGCATTATCAATGTGTTTGGGTTTGAAGCCATCTAGTCTGCCATGCAATACTTTGGTAGTGTCAGGAAAAAGCATTTTCTTTTCTAATCTCCACAGGAGAGCAAAGTCCTGTGATTCCGTCTGTGAATGGCTACTTTTTTGTCTACATAAGTACGTGTCCTGTTTCTCTTCTGTAGTGTTAAGGTTAGACAAGTGGTCCTCTTCTTTGGGATGGGGCAAACTGTTGTTTGTAAAAGTGAGGGCTAATCTGTGATGTTTCTTTGTTCTCTTATTTTGCTGGCTTTTTTCCTCACCTCCTGTTTCACTGGCTACTATTTCATCTTGGTGCATAGGAAAACTCTTTATATCTGGTTGCTCTGCAGTGCTCACAGGTGTCCCACAAAGCACATCTACAGTCTCAAGAGCATTTATGTCAATGTCACCTTCAGGATTTCTACCTTCATCAGACTGATTTGTCGCTTTCATTCTCCTTGACCTTTGTTGTCTCTGTTCTAATGAGACTGAGATAGGCCAATGTCCTACCATTTGCAATTCCAGTGTAACTTTATCTGAACTAATAGAGGAGTAGCTAGAGGCTAGATTTTCTTTCTCATGTCCTCTCTCAACAGTGTATGTCTCAGGCAGGCCCACTTGCTCTTTACCAATCTCAGGATGCTGCTGACGCGGAGTTTCACTTTCCTTATCACTCTTCAGAGAAGATTTTTCTAGTCTCCTAGATCTTTTGACTCTCTGTCCCATTGTTTGTTCTACAGGCCAGTCACCCAGGAAGTTTAGTAGTTCAGGTTTCCCTGACGTGTCAAAAGCTGAACTGCTTGGTTCCACTGTGTTACTAGTTTGTGTTGATTTTGGTTCCATACATATGGAACCCGACTGCTGAACTGCAGTTTGAACATTGACAGCGTTGTTATCACTGTGTTCCTCAGCTCCTCCTGTATGCAAACTCGCAGTCTCTTCAGCTGTGATCACATCAACATCATCTATTTCTGTTTCAGCATTTTTTTCTACTTTTTCTCCCTTTTCTTCTTTCTTCTCCAAGGGCAGCTCTTTTTCGATGCACTCTGATAAACAGACATCCAAGTCATCTTGAACAGCACTGTTCTCAGAATTGTGTTCCACTGAGTTATTTTTCATTTCTTTTTCCTCTTGCTGAAAACGTTCAGGATCACAGCTGCTTTCTAATATTAGAGAATTACGGGGAGAAGTTTTATCAACTTCAGCTAATTCAAGAGGCTCCACATCAAAAGCAAAAGGTGGTTCTTCCTTTGCATCAGAATGTGCCTCTGTCTTTCTGAAACACAAACTGGAATAAAAGATAAACTCATTTCAAACCTTCTTAAAGCATTTGTCTACTTTAACTCCAGTTAGAACTAGAGTGAGAGTTTAACTCTAGTTAGACCTCTAGTGAGAGGAAAACAAATTTATGACAATTTAGCCCTAACTTCAACGCTCCTCTACAAAAAAGAAGGAGCTAAGGAAAGACCAGCTTTCCTTGGTAAGTATCCCCTTCTTACTACAGAACAGGACTAAGAACACTTTCTCAGGAGTCAATTTTCCCCCATTCCCAGCATTCAGTTATGTACTGAAACACTCTGCTGCCAGACATTTCCTCATTCAGACAGCAAATCTGGTAAATGTGGCAAATCTTTTATTTAATGACTGTTCTCTCCTGATGCCTTAATGCTAAATAAAATCTAGAACTAGGAGAGCATGTGCCATTTCTTGTCAAACCATTCTTCACAGTCAACTACATTCCATTAATTATCAGTGCCAATTTCATTTCAAATATGTTAAGCATGCAAAACCCAAATGAAATAATAACTACTGGGTTAATAATAAATCTGGGTTCCTCTGCATTATGATACACAGCATCATTCAGATTAGCCACTACAAAACAGTCATGTATACAACCAACATAAGTCCAGGCAAGGACTGCTCTTCAATTAAGTATATTGAAGAGCAAATAGGTAACTCTGCATGAAGAATCCACCTTCTACCACAAAGATAACATCAACACTAACATACAGATCTAGAAACAGTAATTTGCTCCTATTTGGGACTACATTCATCTAAAAAGCATTTTATAGATTTTAAGTGCTTCATATCTACAACATACATCCGAACAGCATATTTCTATGATAAGAGAAAGTCATTCAAAATTGAAAAGTAACACACAGCCATAATGGGAGGATTTCAAAAAGCACTGGAAAGTGACTAGATCCCTTGACTGCTCATTTCTAGAAATCCAGAAATTCTTAAAAATTAGGAAAACTATGTAGGGGGGTTTTTTTTTGTTATTTAACTCTCTTTTTTAATGCATTTACTGTTCAACAGTATTATTCAGGTTCTGTTGCTAAGAAGTCTGACTTTTTAGCTTTTTATTTGAGGCTACAAAGCTAGTGAAAGAATCTAACCTATGGCTTTCCTCCTGAGAAGGATCTTCACTCCAACCAGCAGCTTCTGATTTGTCTGGAACTGAAGAATCCAATATTGATCTAACAGTAAGGCAGCGTTCATATCGTTCCAACATTCTTTTGATCTTTTCTTTAGATACACCATGAATGTTTCGCCTATGAATTAAAAAAAAAAGAAACATTTCAGATTTGTGTATTAGAATGACAGAAGAGAAAAAGTAAATAATAATTTCATAAATTTACAGCAAGATTAATCAAAGAATTCATGGGGCCAGAGGAAAAGCTGTGAAACAGCAATTCTTTCTGTATCAGTGCATTAAGGCATTCCAAACAGGGCATCTCAGACAAACTGCTGTTCCACTTGACTTCTCCACCCCACTTGGTGTCCCTGTACTGCAGTGGGATATTTTGCATATTACTAAAATCTAGAACTTTGTCCATAATGCATCATCTTCAAATAAGTTTCAGAAACACGCCATATCAGATCCTGACAGTGATGCAGGATACCAAACTAGATATGGAAGACTTCTGAATTCAGTCTTCTTTCTCTGGTTTTGCTAAACTAAGAACTTGAGCCTTCAGGAAAACCTATTCACCTATTATTTTGGACACGAGTTGCCTTGAAATTTTCACTAACTCTGTTAAACACCAACTGGCACTGTGTTCTGCAGCATTTCCACCTAGAACAAGTGAATCCTGCCAAGGATGGCAAAACAGAAACTGAAGATACAGGAGAAAAGGTTTAAGAGCTATTTTAACAAAGAAACTAATCTTCCTTACCTCACTTAAAAAGCGGCCAATCTTGAGCTAAGTATGCAAATTCAGATGACAACAGACATTATGAAATCACAAAATAACTTATGTTGAAAGGGATATCTGGAGGCCACATAATTCAGTCTCCTACTCAGAAGACATACAGCTAGATCAGCTTGCCCAGAGCTTTCTAATGTCCAATTTTGATATCCCAAATGACAAAGTCTACAAACTCTCTGGGCAAACTCTTTCAGTACATAACCAACTTCAAAGCAAGTTTTGGGTTATTTTTCTTTCATGTAATCAAAATTCCTGAAGTTTCAACTTGCTGATGTTTGTTTTGCCCTATCCCTGCAGAGTTCGTCTTCTCTATAACCTCTCAAAAGGTAGCAGAAAACAATGTAATCCTTCCTTAATGTTCTCTTCTTAAAGCTGAATAAACTACCCTTGCTCAGTTCAGTACCATCTTCAAATTTTCTATGAGTGCACTCTGTCCCAGAATCCAAGTCATTAAAAGGACATTAAATAGTTGCAGTCCTAGTATTCATCATAGGGGGACATCAGCCTTCACTCCAGACTTTGGACACTGATCATACCATTTAAACCTGGCATCCAGCCAATTTTATACTTATTATTCACTTACATAGGGATTATGTCTTGCTTATTTTGGCTCTAGGTAACAGAAGGTGCTGCTAAAGAAGAGGTAAGCAACAGTGGTGATGCACAGGGGTTTGCCCCTCTCAGGCCATGAGGTGCTGATTGCCCTAAACTCAGTGACAGCAGAAACCTTTCAATTAAGGCAACAGACCAGCTGGATGCAAAAACAGCCCCAACTGGACATCATTTTTCCAATCTCAGGAACCCAAAGGAAAAGTCACTGTACTTTAAACGCAAAGAACTTGGAATAATGAAAACATCCCATAATAGCTATTGCTAACAGTATCTTTTGTATGTAATTAAACTAAGGTGACAAAAAAATCTTTTCATACATAGAAAATCCCATAAAAGTTAATATTGTAGAAAAAGAATGTTAAAAAGCTACTTATTATCACCAAAATCTGGACTGGTATCTTGCTACTTCATTAGCCACTGTGTTAAGAGATACCTTTTTAAAAATCATAGTTTATAGACTGTAAAAGATATACTGTCTAATGTGGTATTTTCCTTTAAAGTCTTACCTTTCAAGTTCTTTTGGTTTAAACTTCCACCAAGTGTCTGGTTCTCGGAACATTACTTCGTATTTGAACTGCTGAGCCTGAATAAAACAGATATAAAAAAGAACAAGCCACATCACCCATTTCTTATTGCTATGACAAAGCACATGATATGCATAGTCTGCTTTTTCAAAGCTGTTTTTTGTATTTTTTGATACCTGTTAAATACTTGGAATAACACTTCCATTCAGTGTTTCACTTATGTTTATGTAAATGGAGATTTTTAAAAACATGTATATGCATCTCTTACTGTAAAATTAAATGTGTGCCATGAATTGCCTCCTCTGAGACAAGACTGCAGAACATCTCCTCTTTCCAGATACAGCATGCATATGTCTATGCAGCCTCTCCAAGACAGAGAAAAGCTCTCTGCTTACATTCAGAGCTGACCAGATCCAAACCAGCTCCAAAACAAGCAATTCAGTTACATTAACACAGCTATTGTGGATGACCTTCCTGCCATATGGGAAACTTGAGTGAGCTGCAAGTAAATGGTTCCTATATGATCTATTCTCACCATGACAGAAAAGGAGCCTAAGTCTAATCAGGAGAAACACTGTGAGTAGTACTGTGCTGTTTCTCCCCATTCCTGTTTTCAGAAAAAATTCTTGTCATCTTACCAAAGAACTTTTGTTGCACCTTCATTTCAATATACAGCAAAATCAAGGACATAATTTATGAAAGAACTGCTAATCTGACAATTGTTAATAAATGCAAAGAAACATTTTATTAATAAAAACTACCTGTGTTAAGTCCCACTGTTCACTAATCCCTTACCACACGCACCATATGTAGAGTATCTGCTTAAAAGCTATCAATTCTATGTACTACACTCTCTGATGTCTTTCTATATCATATAAAGAGAAATCACAGATCTACTTCCCAATATTTCTTCCAATATATTATTTCTGTTAATCACAACCAATTTCATAAAATAATGTAGTTCTATAAATACCAACCAAAACACTGAATGCCCAACAGCAAAATAAGAGCTAGAGTCTGAAAGTGCTGATGCCCATTTAGAAACTATTAAATGAAAAGGTGAGAAGGTCATAAAACTGGAGTATGAGAAACCTATAACAGAAGTTCACCAAGTTATTTAAATAATTAAATATAACTTTGGAACTTAAATGTAGATTGCATTAACTTAATAAACTAAAGCAGGTCATTTTCAGTCACTAAATAAAAGCACCACACTCCTACCATAAAATAGTGCAGGTGCATTATTTTGATTACATGGCTTCAGTAAAAAACATTAAGTAAATCTGCATAGCTTCAAGCAAGCTAGCAACATCTGATAACTCTAGACTTCCAACTGGTCAGCTGGTATCTTCTCTATGTCATATTTAAGGTGAAATGGAGACTGAGTCTTCAAGTTTCACAGAGCATCAAATATCATTCTTACTGATTAATGTTGATTATCTTTTAAAGTAGATTCTAATGTTACTAATCATATGAAAGAGGAAAAAAATTTATTTATTTTTGGCCTCAAGTACAAAGCACTTGGCTTTGCCTCTTGGAAGCCCGGTCAGGTCAATACTTGAATATGCACAGAATATGACACTGGGTAATATGATTCCATGTAACACATTTTTTACTCCAAACTTCATTGTGGAATAACACCTACACTGAGAAAGACAATCCCCTATTAAAACAATGTTGCTGCTGTCCTGGTCAACAATCTCTTTTCACATTGGTCAAAGTGTAATACTAACCAAAGTAACATAAGGTTTCATCTCCCATGCTTGTATGTTTGTGTTGTCTATTATTATAGGAGTGATTCCCATTTCAAATGCTTCTTTGGCTGAAAAATACACGTACAAAAGAATGTGATACAGTTAATTTCATTATAATAGGGTGAACACATAACATTTATACTAATTCTCTAAATTTGTTTTATTTTAAAGTAGATAATCCACAATGATTAACCACTGTGTGAAAAACTGTTGCCACAGACCCTCTCTTTCAGAAATCCCCCCTCACACATAAAGCTACTGAGATATGGCATTATTCTTTTGAATTAAGGTAGGTATGATAATCAAGGAATGAAAATGCAGATGTAAAATGCACCAAGATGACTAATCAATCAGTAAATTAAACTAAAAAAAACTACATGATCACCTTAAAGTGGACTTCATTGTTGCATACAAAATTCTTGGCTTTATAAGAGTCTTAAGATTAGTCCACTCTGTAAACTGTATAAAATATGAAAAATCAAATGAATTATTGTAATTTAAATACACAGTAATGAAATGTTTAGAATCACTAGCTTTGAGACACAGCACCATGTTTCTGTAGCTACGTTACAATGAGTCTGAACAATCACATTACTTGTTGAACCATATATTTCTATCAACCCATTTCTCCACTGGTAGAAATTTGACAGTAGAAAAGTGATCATGGTTCAAATTTAGCAAATGAAAGCTTTAAAAGAGTTGTTCTGTGGGGAGTTTAGCATAAGGCACTGTCAAAAAATAAACTGATTATGGAAAGGGGGAAAAAAAATTCTGTCTTGCTCTTGTAATTTAGTTTTAAATTTCCCAACAATTTAATGCTCAAGAGAAAAAAGGTAATGAAGAGCAGGAAAATATCTGTGTTACTTGTATCAACATCCTCATTACTTATGGCATATGCATATTATAATGGATCATCTCAGAAGAAGTATTTCTGGGAGAGGGTATAGGTAACCACTCCAGCAAGGGGACACAAACCAAAATACACATCATGACAAAACTTGAGGATAAAATAATCTTGTGACAAAAACACAGGCATTTTTAGTTGCAAAACACACAATGAATGGATGACTTCTGAGTTTGTGCTCATACTATTTTTCCACACATATTAAAAAATACTTCTATGATGGGATAAATGCGTGTCCTGTGATGCAGGCATTACAAGCCAGGCAGGTTTTTTTAAACAGCACACAAGCACTGAACTGTAAATGAGCAAGCTCATCCCTTATTTACTTCTCACCTCGTTTCCTGTTCCAGTCATGCGCTTCCCCTAAGCAACTGGGATCATAATGGTATTGTCCATGTTTATTAAAGTAATCATCAGTACTAAGAATTATTCCACCTGGGTTATCCTCAAGGATATTCCTGTGAAAGATCAAGAAGTAAATAGCTTTTCCCACTTCTTCTCCCAAGCCCTGATACTTGTTACCACACATACATTTTTTTTAGTCTCTTGCACAAAACCAAGATTATTTGGAATGGAAGCAGCAAATTTAGGTGAGGGAAAAAAAAAATCACCCTCCAAGCAAATAGTCTATATTATAGGTCTATAATACTTTCTGTCCTTTTTCCAAAAGCTGAGGATTTATCTAGGGGAGAGAGCTCACAGAGGTTCCCTTCAAGTCTCATTTCAAAAAAAAGAAGAGAGGTATTTTTCCATCTACATGAAATGACACACTTTCACACTGACAAATACACAGTCTTAATTGCACCAAATGTTTCAAGTGCCAGCCAAAGGAGTCTAAGATCAATCTAGGCTTTTGGAGAGTAAGAAAATAAATCAAAAATTCACCCCAAGAAGCCTCACAAATACTATTTATACAAAAGAATTCCCACAGTGGAAGGGGAATTTCTGCCTGTAAAGAGTTGGCACATTTCCACAGATGTTATTCGAAGGAAACACCTGAAATAAACAGGGACTAGAAGAACATAGCAGATCCAACGCTATGGCAATGGTACTCTGCTCACAAACTCCTTCATCCAGTGACAAGTTAAAGCTCACCCTTACTACTTCAGTTTCCACTAGAGGTCAAGGAGCTGCAAGCAACTCGGCTCTCAGCAATCCTTAGTCATCGCGCTGCATGTACTGTGGCATTTAGGGTATAAGCATAAATATTTACAAATGTCAGGAAATTGTCTCTGCCTGTGCTAAATCCTGTAAACAATTAAGCGATTTTTTTTAGAAGCTCACAATATAAATGTTCTACCTTGCCAAATATGATTTTCCTGATCCTGGAACACCTCTGAGAAGAACAAGTACTTGACCTATAAGATGCATCTTTTTTCTCATCATGTGACAAACACGTGGTTGCTGTACTTGCGAGAGGTTCAATTTTGAGTTTCTATCTTGATTTCCCCATACCTTCAGAGAAGGGTTGCTATCCCAGGCATTTGAAACCACTGGGGAGGAAACAAAAAGTCCTTTTTCTGAAGTCCTACAGTCTGAACCAGGTCTCCACTGCCCTGGACTGGCAGCCACAGGAACTACAAAGCTGTGACTTCTACTGGATGGATAAAACACAGGAGCCATGAGATTCCAGCGTTGCTGTGATTGACCTGATGGTGTAGAAAAATTTAAGGTATAACCCTGCTGAGTTTGCTGAACATCTGCAGGTTTTTGTGTTTTCAAACTGGATGTTTCAAGAGAGACATATGCCTCTGGAAGAGAAGTGCTCTGGTAGCTGTTAAAGGCAGTCACTACCTCTTCGGGCTGTTCCAGGCACCTTGAATTAGGATCTCCAGTGACAGTTACTCCAAGTTCCAGAGGGCTTTGGGAGGACTCACCAGAAACAGGAGTGACACTACTTTGATCCAAAACAGTATCTTGTGTCTGATCAGAATTTTCAGATGATATTTCTCCATTTAATTGTTTGTACACTTCTGAAGCTACATCATGTTGAGCATGTACTTCCAACAAATCAGAATCTTCCATTATCTGTGTAAAAGTGCCTGATGCAGCCGGTGAGCTTGTCTGGATGCTCAGCTGACTCACTGGTGGCTGAGAACAGAAGTTTTCTAAAACCTCATTATTTGTCTCTGTTTGCTGTGGAAAAAATAGGACATTGCAAACTGAATCAGATTTTTCCCACTCGGAAAATTCAATTAAGCCATCGTGCTCCACAGGGTGCTTATGTACTATTTGGTCATTTGCAGAATTAGGTAATTCATCACTCAAGCTGTAACTCTGAAAGGCATTTTCTATTAAGGAATCCAGTTCTTCAGTCAGCTGCACATCAGATGATAGGACCTTTTCTATGGCTTCTCCAGGTTTACTTTGTTCTGCAGTACTTTCCACTATTCTTTCATTTGCAACAGATCTTTGCTGATTAACAAGAGCTAATGATGCTGCTGCTGAATCAAAACCCAAGGTTTTTGAAGATGCTACTCCTTTGGCATGGGTGGACAGCTCTAGAAGATGATCCATAGCATTTTCTACTGTTGAAAAAGGTAAAGAGAATAAAACATGGTCAGTGAACAAACCCAATATGAGGTACATGCAATTTTTTTACTTGAAGAGGCATTTATCACCACTAAAGAAACAACCAAAAGACAGTTTACCGATTCATCTTTAAACACACCTTCTGCAACTCCCTTGATCTCATTAGAAGGCAGAACTTAATACAGACATACTGAAAAATAATAACCTAATAAGCGTAAAAATTACAAAGTTTAACTGGAAAAAATATCAGCACTGGATGTTTAAATGGATACTTATTTCTAAACTGTCTCATATAGGTGAAGTAGTGTAAAAATAGCTGAAAAACTACTACTGAGGACGAAAGAGATAAAAGTCCATGAAATATGTTCATTATGGCCCAATTTAAAACGTCCTGAAAAATCCAGTATCTGCATTAATCTTTGTAAAGCCACTAAATAGGTTGCCAGTGATCAACAATATGAAAACCTGGCACAAGTACCATCTGAGCCCTAAGGCTAAGTTTCTGTTTTCCTGAAAGACAGTGCAACAAGAAGTCTAAGTCCAATTAAGTCCGACTCTTTCTCCATACACATTAAACAAAATCCCCATCATCCTTCCATCTTCTCAACTAAATGGGAGCAACTTATTACTCATATGAAAATCTTTCCATTTTTAAACTACTATTGATAGTACAACACTATCAATTCCACGTGTTTACTGAATTCTCCAATAAGCTTTATATAAATCTGTTATTTTGATAAAGGTGAATCTTATTAAATAAGAGTTCAAAGCATGAATTGGTAATTCCATCAAGTTCAATTTTAAAAGGAACAGCAATCATAATAGCACTCTCACTTTTTTATTCAGTTATAAACTGTACAATTTAGGCAACAAAACCAGCCCTTTTAATGGCTACCTAGCTTTCACATATATAAAAAAAATTGCCAAACTCTGCCTTCTTTCAAATATTCTTAGAAAAATCTCAGCTAATCACATCTGATCATAGGAATATGGATTGATTAAAATGCTCCATATATGACATTCTCCTGGCAAATAACTCTTCAGATGTTGCTATCCAGCATCTCATCCAGTATTTTCATTAAAAGCAAATGAACTTGCATATAGAAGAACTTTAAAACCACAAACAAATGGAAAGGACTGGGCATAAACATGAAAACAGTCTGCCAGGAGAGGTGGGTAGCTTGACAGAATACAGGGAAAGAAACACAGTTAAAGCAAGGCTGCAGAGAATTAAACATGACAAACAGAATTTATCCTGCAAAAACTAATCCTCAGTGGAGATGACAAGATGACAGTGCAAAATAAAAGTAAAACAAAAGCTCAGTTCAGGTATTAAAAGAAAAGCAGCTGTCAAGATCACACATGGCACAATATTAAAAAATTGTCATCTAGAATATAAAATATCCCTCCTGCAGAAACACTTTAGGCATCTTGCAGATATGCACAGAAAGTAACTGGAAAAAACAGATTGTTCTCACAACTCCACTACTGCCTGCTCTGTGTCACAGAACAATCCACTCTCAACTGTACCTCCATTTATGAAGCACACTGCTCCATTTACCAGCCTCGCAGAAACGTCAAACTTGGAGAATCTTGCCTGGTTGTAAAATTTCAAAATATTATGACTCACCTACTCATTAAAAGCTAAACTCACAAATATGCTTGCAACACCCCCACCAACTTCCGTGGAGTCACCCTAGTTTAGAGCTGTCTGCATATAACACAAAACTGTAATGCCAACTGTACATTATTTACCTTTAAAATCGCATTCAGACAGAACCATATAAACCACGCTAGGATCTAGGATAGAAAACATCTCTGACATGCTGTTGAAAAGCTCTTCCTTATTGACATAATGCACTGCTTGAGACATTAAGTGACTTGGGTCCCCTTGGGATACAGCAAGAGCAGTTCTGTCAGAATTGCCACTCTTCTGAGAAGGACTCCCACCAGTTTTCCTTCTCCGTGGCATTTTGTTTTCTAAAAATCAGCCTGCTTTTGTTTAGGTTTGTTCACATGAGGCTGACAGCACCAGGCTCAAAAGTCACAAAAAAAGCTCTCATAACTGGGACAGACATAACAGAAACGGCAGACCTGGAATAAAAAGAGAAGAGAGAAATTTCAATAAAATACAGTCACATTTCCATGTTTCCTATTTAGATAGCTAAAAGATCAAAAAATACAAAAGCATACAGGCAAGCATTTTGTAGAAGTCTGCCTTTCTTCTTTTCTAAAGGCTGAAAGCTAAAGAGTAGCCTTATTTTCCAATTAACTACATATTGAATCTGCATCTGGAAGAGAGAATAAGTAAAACACAACTTAAAGGAAATCCAGAAGAGTAAAGTTTGCAATGCAAGGCAGTCAGTTCACAAATATTCTTCTGCTCCTGATGATCAGTTAACATATATTCTGTTAGCATTCAGAAATTTTACTCCTCTTACAAAAGTACTGGAAAACCAAACAGACATCTCCAAATCTTCTAGAAGTCTTCATGACTTCCCTCCACCCACGATCTTTTAAGAGTAAACAGTTGGGGTTCTTCAACACTGAAACACTGGCATAGGTTGCCCAGAGATGTTTTCGAGTCTCCAATCACACAGATTCTCAAAACCTGACCAAACACAGCCCTGCTTGACCCAGGCTGCTTCAAGGCTCGGGCAACCTGCTTCAAGCGCCCCTGCTCGAACTGCTGGGATGAACCAGATGACACTCAGAAGTGCCTCGGCCTGTGTGAAGTTTATTTCATTATTAACATTGCTTATAAACCATAAAGCAAAAAGAGGTTTCTGTCCACCCTTCAGACTTCTGCCATGAAGCCTTTGAATACATCTAGTTAAAACATTACGGTATCTATAACTGCAATTATTGCCTTAATCTTGTACAGAAAAGGAAACCGATTATTAACTGAAATACACACACAATGGCATGGTCTCCCTTTTTTTCTTTATATCAACATCAAAGCTCTCTTGTGCTCTGGTGGTGGTCATAATAAACTATATTTTTTACAAATAATTATTCAGAAGACTACGAAACCTTAGTAAGGCTCAGAATCTGAAGCTAATTACAGCAAAGAGTCACTGTTTATTGATAACAGTTATAGATTAGGCCATAAAATACCTGTTTGTAAAGACTATTTTGCCAGTGATGATCAATTCAACACACACAGATAAATCAATGGCAGCACTTCCATGTTCACTTAGTCCTTCCCTCCCTGGATCTCTGGCACAAATGAAATGCCAGATTAGTGGCAGATTCAGACAGCACATCTCCATTATTCTCTAACAATCTCTTCCAGCAACCAAGAGAAGTAACAGTCTGCAGAAGGTGGGCTGTTACATTCCGAAGTCACAGAAACTTAAGAAAGCAAAACAGACAACTCCAGAATCTACCACGTGTACACGGACCTTACACAGACAAATGGGACGGATGTCTGAAACAATGAAGAGGTCAAGAAGTCTGAAACGCACAAGGAAAACAATACACAGGAAAAGGAAGAAGCAGACTTCCAAAAATAAAGGAGAAACCACAGTGAAAAATGCTAGTTATCCAGACTGAGCTGGGACAACTGCAGCTGTTTTTTTCATCAAACATTTTTTCGTTCACTCTCTGATTAGTCATCCTTACACCATTCTTTACCATCATGAAAAAGTATTCAACAATCAAAACAAATTACAGCAAGTCCCATCTTTCAAATTTTTATTTCTAATTCATTCAATCCTCTAGCCAGTAAAAAAGGTTGACCTAACTTCACACATTGTCAATGCTAAAAAATGTGATTGTTCCTAAAAAACAGGTTCAGTGACAAAGAAAAGATCCTGCAAGGGAGAAAGTTATTCATGTTCTTTGACATTACTGTGCAGCAACACTTTAAGCAGAACATTTCAAGTGTTTTCAGTGTTTTAATTCAGCTCTCATATAATGATCAATCCTGTAAGGACCTGCTGCTGAAAAACGTGCTCTGTAGCTAGGACTTTATACAATTGATTGCCTTATCTCACTGCAGGATGTTCCTGCATGTATTTCCTGCATTGAGCTGTGTATCCCACTATATATTAGGATGCTTTACTCTAAAAAAGCCACACACTTCAGTCTGAATTAATCTAAATCAGCAAATCTGCAGTGCATTGCTTCAGGATTATTAAGGTCTCAACTGTCAATCACAACTAATCACAGAAGAGGAAAGATGGCAGAAGGGAAAATGACATCAGTCACCTCAGAAATTACACACAGGTCAAAACCTTGGTGACTCCCACCATGTCCCAGTATGCTAAGGCAATGCACAGATCCACACTTCATTCCATCTCTCCATCTTCAACCTATCAAAAACATAGATCCTTATTTCCCAGTATTTCACTTAAACAGGGTATTTATCATGGCCAGTATCTCAGACAGATATTTGGACAGAATCTCCTTTGTTTATCACAATATAGACAGATTCCTAGGAGATAGCTTCTGTTGATACTACCAAGGACAATGAAAATATATAGAAATAGATGCTGATGAATACTTCTTATGCAGGTGGCCTGACCTGCAAGCTGCAGATTGAGACTGAAATGCAGATGGGGCACTGGGTGGGAGCCCAATCTCTGGGATAACAAAGGACATGAAGATGGGTGACTGCCAGCCAGGTGAATGAACAACTGAAAGATATGGCAAGAGCCAGGAACTGTGAAGTCAGCAAGGTGGATGGACACGGAACAGTGAGTGAGGGGGCAGGAGGAGAGAATAGAAGGAAGAATGGGACTGGTGCTCAGAGGAGACTGTGAGGGTATAAAAGCTTAGGGATTCTCGGGTTTGGGTCTCTCCTCAGAGGGACTGTCTTGAGCTGTTGCTGTGATACTGTGCCAGGAATAAACTGCCTTATGGAATGTGATGCCTTGGACTCTGCTATTGGAAATCTGGGGTCGAACCAGGAAAGAACCCTGGTCTGGCTGCGTGTAAGTGGGCTGTGTGGGGAGCCAAGTGGGGACCAGTCAGCTCACTGGAGCCACCCACCATGAGGGGGCCTTGGTCCAGCAGATAAAGTCTCTGGCAGTAGGAGTGTGACAGCCAGAGAGCCTCGTGAATGGTCAGACTGGGAAGTTTCCTTAACATAGGTGCCTGCACACAAACAAAGCACACTTTACTATACTTCCTGAGAGATAACACTAGTGCACTCAACTGAAAGGAGTAATTTTCACTTGCATTTAAGAGCACGCCCTAAACTTTACAAAGGGTTTTTATCTAGGGGCTTGCCTTTTTATATACTTATGTTTCTTTTTGACTATTACCTTTACCAAGAAAGAGGAAATAATTCCAAATAACCCAATAGCCTGACATGTGGCTCAGTTATATTCATTCTGGATAACATAATATGAATCAGTCTGCAGTTTGCTGTGGGTGGGGGTGGTTTTTTTCCACCTGAAGATGAAAACAGAGTTGTAATAACATAATGATTAGGAAGGGCAGGGCTGCGTTGAACACAGTGATTGGGAATTCTAGACAATTAGTGAGAGGCTGCAATGTACTCAGAGGTTCAGTAGTCAGTTCTGGGTACCACCATCTGACACACATCCAATCAGAGCAAACAGCTGTTTCATTTCAGCACAGATAAAAAACAATACTGCTGTGAAAAATCTCAACTTCACCTTTAAAAACACAACAAAACAAAATCCCTAAGTGTTTCTTCACACACAGTTCTTCAGATATACACAGCTCCTGACATTAAGGATCCCCTCACAATGTAATTCAACTACCATAAACAAGCACATATACAAAAATATGCCTGTAAGAAAATTATCTTCCAAATTATGCAATCTTACAAATAAAGCAGATATTAAGATACCTGCATTCTCTACAAAGTAAGATAATTTTCAAATGCTACTAACCTAGGAAAGAAGAAGTAGACTTGTCAGGTCAGGGTGCTTTAACATCACCATCTTTCTAGCTGGCCAGAGTTTATTTCTGATGGTAGATTACGAGCCTCATGTGATGCCTGTTCCAGTACTGCTACCCCCCTAAGGAGCTGGACAGATGCATCATAGACACTCTGCAGATACAGACCAGATATTATTACAGGCAATCCAGTCACTACAGAAACAGGCAGGCACCTACATAATCAAACTAACACAACACATTCTTCTTTTCTGTTTGACAGATAGAACAATGAAGTGTTGAGAAGTGGTCAACCTGGCACAGCAAGATGATGGACCAAGATATCAAGTCTCAATCTCAGCATCTTACTAACAACATTCAACTTTTCGGTGAAAAGGAAACCAATCATTTAATAAACTACTTCTAAGAATGTATTTATAACTCCCATGGGGGACTTAACTGTAAAGTGTCCTTAGAAATATTCAAAGTGCACTCTTACTGATGACACGTAATCTAAAGAATGCAAAACATTTAAACCATCAAAACAAAAATCTAAGGGGGAAAAAACAATCCCCAAGACCCTCCAAAACAGAATCCATTATTTTTAAAATATCTAAGTTTTCATTTATTTTAGGAAATAACCATTAACATACACCTGTCACACACAAGTCACCACACTGCTAACCAGCACAGTCATGTCAGCCAACTTTCTGCAAAGAATTCCTAGTACTTCGAAAAAAGTTTAAAAAACAAGGCTACAAATGTATTTTCTAAAATTAAACTAAAAGGCATGAGTGATGTTTGTGCTGAGGCTATATTAAATTTGCCCAACTAAACAGCCCTTGTTTTCCATAGTAAAAGCCAGAAAAACTCCCTGGCTTTCTAAGAACTCCTATATATTGTTAAAGAGACGTATTTTTACAAAATCAGACAAAAGCTACTATGAAGAGTATTAGGCACCAACTGTTGTAAAATTTCTGGAAAAATAATATAAATCTCAGGCTTGCTTCATTCTCAGTGTAATATAAAAATGTTTATGTAGTTGCTGAATAAAGATCTGATGAAGAGCTGACACATGTCATACACCTTCTACACTGGGATGTCTTCTTAGAAACCATGCACGGTAGCTTGCCTTTTCAGGATATGTCAAAATTCTCAAGTAAATTGGACTGACTGCAAGTTCTATTGGAAACCAGTAGTATTCAAGAAGAGACAGAACATACAGAATAAAGGAAGAAATACATTAAACTATTTTTTAAGTGAGTTAGATAGTCGATACCAAAGTATTCACAAAGTTCTTTACATCAAAGATACTGCATCAGCAAACAATCAACAGTAAATATAATTTTTCAAAGTCATTACAAGAACTTGTTTTTTAAGTAAACAGACCAGCAAAGTATTCTAACCACTATGGAAAATTTACTAAAAGCACTAAGCAGCACGAGACACTTCTGGTTTAACTGTGATCAACTTCAAACGACAAATATTATCAAAATTATTTCTATTCTTCTTTTAAGGACAGAGGAAGTCTCCAGCCTTGACACAATGTAAGATTCAAGCAATATGAATAAAGCTGCCTGATTTACATATATTTTTAAATTTCTCTGAACAATTTTAGGAAGTCAACTCCATACATATAAAAGAGGCTGGTTTAGTTTTGGTTCTTCGGTGGTGGTGGCTTTTTTTATTATTTTGGTTTGCTTTTGAGGTTTCTGAAGCATATTTTAATTTTAAATTATATAAAATATATCTCATGTAATGTTCACGTTTATCTTCCAGCTTTTAAAAAACACATATGCACATATATAGTGACACGATGGGGACTGAAAAAAAATCTCAACTGGTAATACAAATAAAATAGCAATGGCACAGAACTTACATTTTCAGCTTCACTGAATTGTTCTGCGATGGGTGTCTTCTCATCTTTCCAAAACCACCACTGATGGCACATTTAATAAAGATCTGCTGTTACAAAATATAATGCACTCTTCTGTCAGGAAACCATGCCTCCCAGCATAGAAATCAAACATCATCAGAAGTAGATTCTTCCTCCTGACAAAAGAATAAGCAACATGCAAATTAAAATTTGCATTTTGCTCACTATAAGCAAAGTTTTAAACACTGGGCAATACACTTAATTGGTTTTAGTAGATTAAACACAGCTAATACCTTAACTAAGTATCCAATATACCAAGTTGAGCTCAAGTGTAAGTCTTCCAAGGATAAAAATACCTACTTGATTTCAGCTTTTAAATGATTTCTTATCTAAAAAGGCTGACTTACGTCAGGTAAACACATAACATAATGGCAAAAAAATTAGTTAGAAATAAACGTAAGTTTCCTCACTTGCCATTCCACTTGGTTCTTCACCACAGTTCTTAAGCATCTTGAAAAGGTGTACATATCCATACTGGTCAAGAACAGATTTGCTCCATCATGTTGGAAATTAGGCAAAGAAAACCTGGTACATCAAAATAAGATTATGTTACTTATACCACTTATTTGCGATGCCCTACTGATGCTAAAGAACTGCACTTCTGTTCATCAAGCGGATTTAAACCCCTAAACCACTGTGTACACACCGAAGATGTTTACATCTACTCAAAGTCTGACTTAATTCCAGTGTACATATTAGCCAAGAGCTCATGCCTTGACAACAGTCTTGTGCTTTCAAAGTAAAAAGAAATAAAACCAAAACCAAACACCAAATTAAGCATATACACCTAATCAGGCAAAGAATATGAAACAACTATTCTGTCACACTCATAACATGACAGGTTGATGGCTCAAATACTTTATAACATTCTTCACAAGAGATGAAGAAACCCATCTCGCATTCTGCATGTGACCTCATGCCACTACTCCTAAGCAATAAGAATTGCCATCAAAACATACAGAGCACTTCATGTAAGCAAGAAGCTGACGATGAGTACCCAAATTTACAAAGGATAGGACAGGTTGCAGACACAGAATGTTATTCACCTCACTCTCAAACACATGGATTCAGAAAAACCACACCAGGAAAGACTGAAAGCCATTCAGTGGTTTTACAGAACAACTTTTTAACAAAGGTTATTTCCACATTTGTTCATTTGCGTTTTGAGGTTTCATATATGGAGCAAAATAAGCATTTAAATACCAGCACAAGAGAAAAAAAGCAGCCAATGAAATCAAACTGAGACCAACTCATTGTACTTTCTAGCTGTACTTATAAAAAAAAAAAGAAGCTTTTCTTTTTGTACAATATTCGAGCCCCCTCTCTAAAAACCAGAAGGTAAAAAAAGGGAAGAAAAAAAAGGAAATGGCTTCCAGCAGCTTTTTTTCAATAAGTCGGAGTAGCAAAGGAGATGGTTTAGGAGCCTTTTGTGTTCTTCCATTTCCACCAGCAGCCAGCAACAGAATGGGCCACCTAAACACTTTGTTATTGAATGTGAAAATCGATACCCAGCTAGAGACAAAGTGCTTCGAAAAACACTTCAAGCGTGTGTTCTGCTCTTCCCTTCTGCCCCTCAGTATTATTCCCACTGGTCGTTCCAAGGGCTTTGGCTCGTTCAACAGTTTGAAGTAAGATCCTCTTTTTCACATCAAATTCTGTCAAAGTGCATGACACCGACACATAGAACTCATTCTTAACTAATGTGCATAAACTTGCTTTATGCAATCTGTTCTGCTAGGATTTTCTTCCACTTTTATGATTTTAAAGTCTGGTCCAAGCCATACAGATTCTTTTGAAGCTGCTACAAAAAAAAATATCTTCTTTTCAGTATGAAACAAAAATTTCATCCAACTACACACACAGTTCCAGAGTACAAAACCAGCACAAACAAACTCATCAGAAGTACATGCTTAGGAAGTAAATAGAAGGAAGAACAGAGCCTGTTTGCTAGGATGGACTCAAAAGCTCTTCTCCACGTGCCAGGTCACGAGGAGAAGTCAACCCGCAGTGGCAGTCAGCTGGTATTTGACAGGTGACAGAAGCTGCAAACTCCACATCATGCAGTTTCCTTTTAAGCCGGGAAGCTGCTCTTGCTAGAAGCCCTTCATACACATGAGCACAGGCTCATGTACACAACGTGCTGGGTGTACATGATTAAAGTAGCAAGGTAGGAGGAGGGAGAGCCACCAGTGATCTTGTTCTCCAGCACCAAGTCTGCTTGAAAAGAACTACTTTTGTACTCACCCTCCTTTTGCTGTGTGCTAAAGGTCAAAGTTTGGCCTTGGGATTATGGAAAGTGCAGATATGTAAGTTGACAAGCTGGAAAAATCAACAAGCAGTTGATTTCCTTGTTTAGGTAGAGTGTTGTTGCTTGTTATGTTTTGAGTTCATGCATTTTTTTCAGAAAACAGTAATACAGAGTATCTGCAAAATGTCCTTCCAGCCCTAGAGGAGTTTAGAGTTAGTTGATCCTTTCATAGCTTTCCTCCTACGTCCTTTGGTAGCCTCCCATACAGCTCACAGCCCTCTCGAACATGCGGAAGTAAGGGTTACCCATGGTGAACTCGGCTTTGAAGAGAGCTCTTCCAGGACGCAGAGCTCTCAAGCTGCCTGGGCTGTCCACACAGCTCAGCTACACTGCCATGACCTATGCCAGGCCTCCAGAGCAGTGCCACAAGCTGCAACAAAGACCAGACTCATGTTTATGGTGGTGCTTCCGCAGTTTCACACCTGCAGTCAGTACTGCTCCTTAAGGTTGTATTCCTGCTCCACATCACGAAACACAGAGAGGTATTTGGAAAGGGGAAAGAGAACTCCTCCCAGGTGGAGCTGTGACTTCCCACATAATGCTTCCAAAGACTGGTCAAAACTCAGGCTGAAGGGTAGTGAATGAAACCAAGACATCTCTGGAGAATTAACATTTCCTCAGCATTACAGAATTTCCTTTCATGTCGTCTCCAGATGAACTTTCATAACTGTCTCTGAAAAGCCTTTCTAAAGACAGCAGTGCCTGGATCTTGTAATTCAAGGCTTGGGGCCTGAGTTGCAGGAAATAGTTTGTAATCTTTTATAAATTGCAACTCTGGCATTATCTAGCTAAGCAGCTACGCCGTAGTACATTTGAGGCTGATAAAAAAAGGAAGATGTAAAGATTTTTTTTCTGTGACTAATACCTGGCCAAAGGATAAGCATTTATTTTAGTGCTTGGAAAGCCAGCAAAAGGGTGGCAGTGAGGGTGAGGACTGGTTCTATCAAGATGAGAAGATACTGTAAAAGAGGAGTATTACTGAAGATCACAAATGATGCTTATTATTATGGGCACACACATGCAGGTGGCATTATGGAGGAAGGAAAAGTGGAACATTAAAGGAATACTTTAATTTAGACTTTTCTGCACTGGCAGCAGTCAGGGCTGGCAATAAATGCAAATACTACTTCCCCAAATCTTGGCTTGCTTTAGCTGTTGATGCAAATGAAAACAGGTTTACTTTCTTCTTATATATGATGCTGCAATTCCAATACACCTGGGAACAAAGGGAAGTGTCTGTCAAAGACTGAGGCTCCAGAGCATGAATCTTCAGACCTCTGCAGACACCTAACAGGGCTTCTGCAATGTGCCCAGGTCTTGGTTCTGGTGCTTCCACATAGGCTTCCACAAAAGTTTCTCAGCTCTCCACCTTTCCTTTGTGTGTGATACATAGAACTCCTTAATCTTCGTACGCAAAGCCTAGCCATGATACATAGAACAACTCAAAGGCAGCACTATCTGGCCAACTCTCCAAAATAATCTCTTCCTACCTGAAGTTCAGCTTACATTCAAACTCACAACACACACAGCGCTGTACTCCAGTGATCCCCAGCAGCCACTTCCCTCCAAACAGCCTCATACAGTTTTCAGTGCTGTGACTCTAAAGGAAGGTTTGTTGCACACTGGGACAAAGCTGAAGCACAAGAAATTTTGGAACAAAATTATGTACTCAGGTTTGCAGAAAGCACTTCCAAAAACGGGAGCCTGAGGAGATCATGCTGGAGCATCAGAACACAAAGTGTGCTGGAACTTAATATTTTTCACCAAGGTGTTACCTATTAACCACTGACCTCAGAACGGTAGCAGCCACAGGGAGAGTAGGAGGCAGGTTAGAAAGAAACATAAAGCAGTTTGTGAATTTTCCTGATGGCCCACATGCAACAGCAACATGAGAACCACTCCAGAATTTCCTGAACAGGAACATACCATACTGATACATAATACACTTCACCAGCTCACACTGAGTCATGTTGCATCATGCAATTACAGCTTGAAAAATAAAGCCAGAAAACAAATCACATAAAGAAAGCATGATAGCTTATTCATGGAGACACCTTAAATATTTTGGGGGGGGAGGGGAAGGAAATAAAATCACATGTGAGGTCCCAGGCTGCACACTACACTGGTCTTATCAGGGCAATTATTTCTACTTCATTTGTTCAAATGCGCTTCCAGTGCTGAATCCACTAGGCCAGTTGAACGCAGAACACACACAGCCATTACACAATAAACACTATTCTGAGTTTGATATAACCCACAGATGGATGACCATCCTGATCTAGGTACATCAACAAAAAGCTTACAGCCTCCAAATGACTGCCATTACTTACTTGATAGATTTGGACTTAAACCTGTCATTTACTTTCAGAAAGTAGTTCACCTGAGATGACTAAGAAAACATCAGCCAGGACCATCTGAACAGTTTTAAATGGTGGTTTGAGTTAACACAGGCCATTTTTGAGATGGAACAGAGATTAGTTACATAAACCAACCCACTGGTAATCAAAGAATCCCCTGCAGAATCATGAGAAGAAACAGCTGCAAAACACCCTCTTCCATGACCGCAGCCAGATTCAGGTGAAAATGTACAGCATTACTCACTTCTGAGGCAGTGTAACTGACAGCTAATTAATAGCCTACTGACATTTTTATAGTAGCAGAGCCTCTGTGAGAAAAAAAAAGGCAGCAACTTCACAAAAGTCAAGGATTAATAATTCGGAAACTTTTACAGAACTAAATTCATATGCAGAAGAACTCCATTTAAAATAATAATTAGACTAACTAAGTCAGCGACTTAGCATAGACTATAGATCAGTACAGTGAGTGCACTAACAGTGACAGATTGGAGTGAAAGATGAGATTGTGCAATACATCAGATCTACAATCCCCCAGTCCCTAATACAATATTTCTATATCTTAATTCAAGACAAATTAAAATTCTCTTTTGTAAAATGGACAAGGAGACAAGTAACAAGCCACCTACACCATGAAGTGAAAGAGCTGTAAGTCTGCATGGATGTTCCTAACACCGTGCCTAGGCTACCATTTTTGTCAGGTACTACTGCACTTTCACATTGTATCATTAGGAACTTCATTTCCCTCTACATCAGTAGCTTGCCCAGTTGAAATGCATTAATGTTAATACAACACAAAAGGAGTTCTCTAAATAAAAAGTGTAAACAAGACTACAAAAGAATTAGAGGACAACTAAAAACCAAAACAAAAAACAAAAGACAACAGAAAAAAGCCTATTAAAAAGAAAACAAAGGATTTTAAGATGTGCTTCTATACTGTTAAATTTCCCTCACAAGTTCTTCACATGACCTACAGGAACATAAACTATTGCAGCTTGAAAGCGCTGCAAACGTGCTGCAACCACAGACACACACAAGCCCAACCCTACTCATGGTGACCCCACCCAGATGAATGAGGGCTACAATTTTCAAGCTTTACAGACCTATACCATACTTAATTTTTCCTGCCCTTCTATAATTTTCCTCATGTTTATATTTCAACCTTTGGCTCTCCCCTCACATCCAAAGACACATGATCTAAAACTTTTATTCTTTTTGGAGGTCTTTTGCTTAAGTTCTTAAGCTTGCTTATTTTGCTTAAGTTCTATATAAATTACGCTCATCTTTTCACTGCAGGTCCTACTGCAAGCCTGAGATGCAGACCAAACTTTGTCAAGACACTGTGTAAAAGCGTTAAAGTGTTTCTTAAGAGTCAAACTGTCCTTAGTCTTTTAGAACAGAAAAAAAGTAATATGTTTTTTATTCTCGCCTTGGAAGTCAGACTTCCTCCCAAGCCTCAGTGACCTTATCGTACGTGATCAGCAAAACCGCAAACTGTGTCCAAAGCATTCAGGGATACTACGCTATGGAGTAAACACATGGTAAACACCTTTCAGCGGTTCTCTTGTTCAGAACGCACAAGCCCTAAGAGTACTTAGAACCTTCTGATTTCATTTTGAACGGGGTGAATTCATACTGCGGGGCTCTGTTTTACGAGACGAAGTTCACGAGCACTCCGCACTGTCTGCCCGGGGCAAGCGGGCGAACCCTTTTCGCCGACACGCCAACCCTGACCCTTCCTCCAGCGGCCACAGCCGCCGGCGGGGCAGGAGCCGGGATTTCTGCGGAAGGCCGGGCACCGCGGTGACGGGCGAGGAGGAGCCGCGGGCGGCCGGGAAAAACGGCGCCGGCTCCGCGGAGCGCCGCCAGCGCTCACCACAGCGGCGGGGAGCGCCGAGGCCACGGCCAGGCCCTGGGGAATTCAGGCCCGAGTGGCGGACCCGGCCTGGCGGCGGCGGGGCCCACCCGCGACCGCGCTGCCCCAGCCGCTTCCCGCCAGTGGCAGCCCCCGCCCCGCCGCCCCCCCTCCCACCCGCCGGCAACTCCTCTGCAGTGACGCCGGGGACGGGCCCCCAGCGCAGCCGGGCCCGCCGCCATGCATAACGCGCCGCGGGGGCCGCCCGCCTCCCGCCCCCGGGAGACCGCGACGAACAGCCCCGCGCCCTATCGTGAGCAGGGGGAGGCTGAAGCTCCTCCCCGGCCCCGCCGCCGGCCCCGCCGCCAGACTCGCCGGCCGTTACCTCGCTCGGCTCGGCTCGGCTCGGCTCGGCTCCCCTCACTCGCTGCCGCCGGCGGTGGGCGCGAGGCTGCGACCGCGGGAAGGGGCGGCTCGGGCGGGGCGAGCGCCGCGGGGACACAGCGCCGCTCCCCGGCCGCCCGGGGCAGCGCAGCCCGGGAGGAGGCACCGCCCCCGCCCCTTTCCCGCGCCGGCCGGCTGAGGGCAGCGCTCCTACGCGGGAGGTGCCCCCGCCCCTTTTCCCGGTGGTTACCGGTCACACCTGCCTGCCGATCCGGCTTCGCGTGCTCGGCTTTGGGAAGGGTCCCAATGCTCTGCCGGGGTGAGAAACCAGCGCGGGAGGACGGAGCTGTCTGTGGGGGCCGTGCTGCTGGGTACGGCAAAGGTGAGGTCAGGAAAAGCGGGAGACCCCCGGGGTTGAGCACGGTGACTCAGCCGTGTAGTGACAGGTTTCACACGTTTAGTTTCTCGTACCGCTGCCCTGTGCTATGGATTATTTCCTCACGTCGAGAAAGCTCCCGCAGTCTGGAATGATGCCGTGGGTCAGCGGGCTGATGCCGAAGGGGCAATGGCAGTAAGCGGCAGAGGAGATAGAGAGTTTTTACGAAGTTGAGGCGTGTCTGACGGGATCTGGCATCAGTGGTTGCTGTGGAAGTTAAGAGCTGCAGCAGGAGAATAGAGGAGCAACTGGTTAGGAGGATAGGGCTTCTTTATCTCCACCAAGCAATGGACGTTTGATGGGGATGGACAATGGAGGATTATGGAAAGATGAAAAAGAGATGTGCGTTTGACAGACTAAGATGATGATAAGCAGCTCTTAAATTAGAACTGCTGTGAAGACACCACAAAGGGAACTAAGCATCTGGACAAGAGTTTTGAATTTATCAACACATTTCTTGTGTTGATACACAAGATGCAAAAGGCTTTTATGGGCAGAGCTCTTATAATAAAATGAAAAATACTTAAAAAAACAACACTTGAGGAGGTTCTGCGAGGAGAACTTTCAGGTAGTTTTATAGAAGTTCGTTGATCTGAGAAATTTCACGGTCATCAAACAGGCTTTAAAATCTAGTTGGGAAATTACATATGAAGTTTACCCATTACTGATTTCTAAGAATAGGACTTCATTACATAGCCATAGGCATCCTTGTCAGCTCTGTCTCCCTGCCTGTCCCAGCAAGATAATAGGCAGGGTCTCCACTACTCCTGCTAGTACATCTGATTCTCAGACGGAGCTGAGTGCCTTCTTATGCCCCATTATCTTGAGACATCTCCCTGCCATCTGTATGCGACCACCTCCCATCAGGGCACAGCGCTTCAGGAGGACGTTTACTGGAGGTGTCCCACTGCGATCCTCCTAGGGAACAGAAATATGACACTCCTGTGAAAAGGGAGAAGCATTTTCTCCAGAGGAGTGTCATGACCTACTCGGTAGGATGTGTGATGTTCTTTATAAATTCTCGTCAGGCTGAACAAAGACACCAGTCCTTATGTCAGAGAACTCTTATGCTTTATTGTATCTTAACTTCTTAAACTCCAGCAAATAGCCCACTATTTAGTCTCAGATGTGTTGGCGAACAAACCCTTAACTTTTACAACAAACTTCAACAACCTCCCAACTCCCCCTGTCCCACCTCTGCAGGACGCTGCCCTCTCTTTCAGTCACAACTTTCCTGCAGCAACAGTCAGAACATTTGAGATAAAACATGCTTACCTTCTTATACCTGGTCCTTCACAAGGGGACTAAAGTTGTCTCCCAGTCCAAAGATCCCTTATATTGTGCTTCATCAGATTCAAAGGAAGGGGCACCCTGAGCCTCATTTGTCATTCATTTTCCTTCAAAGAGGGAAACGTGTGGACAGACTGCTAAAACCCTGCTTATTTAGCATCTAATCTTAACGTGCTTCACAAGAAAGACCAAGAAGTGATGGCCAGCTTTGTGTCTGAGTCACTCATACTCCCATTGCTGCTTCCTTAGAGGCCTGGAGAGTTCTCCTTCTGCCACCAGGATGCACCTGTTTGCACCAGAAATGTAACTTTAGTATTAATGCCAATACTGAATAAACACGTGCAAAAATAATAGATAGTTCTAGGGTGAACTAAGTATGCATGAGTAGCTCACTACAGTTGTTTTATGAAAACTGTGGAACACTGCACAGAGTAATCTGTCTAGAATTGTAGGGATCACGGTCCCAAGGTGCTGGCTATTTGGTAGCAGCAGAACGGCAAGTATGTTTTATATATAGGATTGTATACATTCCTCAATAAAAGTAGTGTTAGAAAATTAAGCATTTAATGTTTTAGGAAATAAATTGATTTAGGCATTGCTAGTTTGCCCATCACTTTGCTATTTCAGTACCTATCTTGTAGCAATATAGTGTGCAATATTTAAATAAACAAGGACAAACATTTCCATTTCTAATACAATAATTAAAGCCCTCACATCCACAGGATGTGCTGGTAAGCCTCAAAAAAGCTGTCTCTTGCCATGACTCACAAAAGGAAAATAAATAATTATTCAACATGCTGCTATTGTGAGCATCCAAAAATCTGCAAGAAAAGCCTTGATCAGAATTTGTGTGTGCATGTGGTGTCAAGTAACGGTTTCATGGACGTACCAGGAACAGTTTCCTTGCGTCATGTGTTCAGTATCTGGATAAGTATCAGAAACAAAATCGTTTTTCTTTAAGGGTGTGATGCTGGTAATGTGTTAATCATACATTTGGAAAAATAGGTCATGTAAATTCCAGTGTAATGACTGTGTCTTTATATTCTTAAGGTTGCCAAAAAAAGAGGAAGAGAGAGGTTTTCAGTATGCTCTAGTGTGATAGCCTTCTGTAAACTGCAACGCTTGGGATGTTGCTGCTGGCACTTGATGCATGAAACTATGTTGTTCTTTGCCAGTTGTACATATTACAGTATTTGACACCGTGAAAATACCAGACTAATTTGGATACTGGCAGATTTCTCACTACCACAGTTAAGACTTTAAATAGGAGGGATTTTGATATCTAGAAAATGATAATTACTGTAATAGAGACTCTTTCAAGTATTCATGTCCTTTTTTTTTTTAATTTTCACACAACTTTTCCAAACAATACAATAATCCCCTGTTATTTATTTTGTTGTTGTTTTAGGTTTGGGTTTTTTTAATTCCTTTCTCTCTCCTTATGTCTCCAGTTGGCTTTTTTTTTACTTGGAGTGGTTTGAACATACAGCATGTAATCTGTGCTGTTTGGCTCAAGTGTTTAGTCTGGTCTTCACTGAATACTTTAAGAACAGATTTTCCATTTTAGTTTCTACAGCACTACCTTCTTAAAGAAAAATACTATGTTCTTGCTTATGTTATAAATCACAATAAAATAGCAGTATTACTAGAGTTGGGCCATAAAAAAAGGAAATGGCCCTATAATGTTTCTGATTATATACAGCCTATGTCTACTCAGAAAATTGTCATTTCCTTTCTTCTATACTCAAAATGTCTTTATAGTTAAAAAAATTATTATATTTTGATTTTCAAGAACCATTTGCAGCTAGACTTTTGGTTTGAAGAACATTCTGGTATGGTAAGAAAGACACGTTTAACTTTGCCAGTTTTAAAGACTTTTTTTTACTTACAGGAACATGTTGAATATACAATAATAAATATTGTAGGAAAAGGCCTGAGAAATTAGTGGGCATTAAAAATTAATGCCTGCCTGCAACAAATTTGAAATAAGTTACCTTTCCAGGAACTTAAGGTACAGTTTTTATAATTATTCAGAACTTTACTTTGTACATTAATATACATCATCAAAGCCCCAAATTATCATAGGTTTTTCCTTCCTTCAGAAAGGAAAGATGAAGAGCCCTCATCTAGTTCCTGCAGAAATCATTTTCATCAAAGCTAATCCAGTCCCTCCATGCGGTAACCCCTCTTCTATGGAGTCTTTCACATTCTGTTGCCAGCTTTAAGTTTCATTTACCATTGCAGAAAATAAAAAATTTTAGCTTTCCCCCTCTATTTTTTTAATTGATTAACCTAATGCTGATTTGAGATGTTTAACTTGGCTTCTTGGAATGTCTGTGTCTCCAGTTAATATTACTTTGTCCATGATCTTAGAGTTTGTGTTCCTATAAAAGATAACTCTTTCCTCTGCCAGAATTTGATTTTCGAAGTACAAATTTAATTCCCTAAGGAAAAAAAAAAAGAGGGGAGAATAGAAGTTTTATAAAAACAAATATTTGCAGAATAACTCACATGAGTGTCTTGTCTCCTCCACCCCTCTCTAGATTTAAGTCAAATGCATAGTGATTTTTGGTGTTTTATCTCCATAAAGGAACTTCATATCTGGCTTCTATACTTGAAATATATTGATCTTCTGTTCCATATAGCTATCAATTCCATAGTTAACTGTAGAAACAGATTGGTATCACTGCAGTAATGTTAGTAATTTCACATAAACATTTTTTATTCCAAATAGTACAGTTTTACTATACCTATATTAAAATAATGCCTTAATTGCCTTTATACATGGTTCTATTTCAGCATTATTTTAAACAGGGAAAACCCCCATTATTTAGAAGCAACAGAAATCTAGATTATGAGGCACTTTTTGCCCCACTGAAGACAATAGCAAAAATTGTGCTGGTTTCAATAGGATCACATTTTTAGATGAACAGGTCACATTAATTCTGGCATTATCATAAATGAATACTAAAGAAGTTACTTAAGAAATCAGTACTTCTGTTCACATACACATCAGTAAACTATCAAAGGAATTTATAAGGTTATTGCTGAATGTTAATAGTTGTAAATTTTCAAATTCTGGTTTAAAGGCATTCTAAAGCAGCATAATACCAATCTTCATTTAAACTACTTGTACTTTAATGAGATACTCCAGATATATTCCAGAACAAAAAACAGAATTTCCTTATTATACCTGGTATGCTAAACATCTCCAGAATATATGAACTACAAAGATGCTTGGGTTTTTGGAAAGAAGATGCAGAGATATGACAATAAACACTATAATCCGAGAGCGAAAGAATTACACTTAATTGTATCTTCTCTGCAGGCATAGAATGAGGTTTTGCCTGTGTAGCTGATAAAATCCTCACTGCTACAAGGACCCTCTGAATTTGAATAAGCTCATGCTTCAGATTTGATTTGTGGTGAATCTGATTCCTGTATTGGATGTTCTCTGCTATGATGTTTTTATCAATCTGGTATGTCAAATTCAATAGATATCAAAAATACATCCTAACCTGTTTAAAGTGCAGAAAGGTAGAATAAACAATGCTTAATATGCTTCCTTGGCATATGATAAAAAGTAATAAGCTGACTTCCATTGTAACTGTCATGTTTTTATCTGTTGCATATCACTGTCTTTATTTTTTAAAACTGCACTGGTCCTATACCATGGCAAATTTAATATCAGATATCTTAGAAATCCATGTATTTAAGACATGGCCTAAGAACAAGGCTAGCAGTAAAATTGTATCTCTGTATTATTTTTAAAAATCAGATTTCATTTCTATCACTGCAGTTATTAATCTAAGCTTAACAGGAAAAAAATAATAATGGTTGACACTTCTGTAACTTCTACCATCCCCAGAAATGCAAGAGCTGTTTAACTATACCATGCAGTACCACAGAATAGATTATTAGGCAGTTATTATACATCTGAAATTGTAGGAACTCTGTAAGCAGGGTGCTGTTATCTGAACTGGAATTTGACCAGGATGTGAAAGTTTACTTACTGTTTTTAACAAAACAACTATTGTATGCTGATTAAGAAAGAGGAGGCTTCCAAGGAACAGTATCATTGATGGCCTCCAGTCATTCATAAAGCCAGAGCTGTAAGAACAAAACTGCCCTGGGACTGAAAATCTCCAAGTTTCCCATCTGCAAGGTGTCTGCCTTCGGGTAGTTGATAAGAGGACAGGCAGAGCTGCGGAAGAAATTGAACTGATTTTGAACTGGACTAAAATTTTCTAGGTTAACACAGAACTAACATACTTCAAGAATTTGCAGTGACACTTCAGCATTTTATTTTCTTGGGTATCCGAGCTTCTCCTGGGATATCTTACTGAGAGTCAAATCCCTAGCATAAGTGACATTACTGAATCCAAACCATTCTATGTTGGACTTTGTCTTCACTAAGGAAAAATTAGGGCAGAGGTAGAAAGGAAAAGAAGTTTCTTTTAGCTAGGACAATAGCATATTATATGTATTAGAAGGTTAAAATAGTCTTATACTCCTATCTGTTTGCCTTCATTGAAATAGCATGTAATAACTACAAACTACCGTGCTCGTATTAGGATTTTATCACATTAAGGTACTCTGTATTTCCTAAAGTAAATGTTTTCCTTAGAGCAAAAGAGATGCATTTCCTCAAGTATATTAATTCCCAAGTTTACTTAATGTGACCAAATTCATGCTGAGATGCAGAATTAAACACTTGGAAAACAAACCATTTAAAAAGTCAGTTTGAAATAAAATTTTAAAAAAAGTTATCAGTTATTATTTTCTTTTGACTATATAATATTTTAAGTAAAAATTTAGCTTATATATTTTCATATTTTATGGGTTTTGTGATATTAAAGGCTATTAGTCCATTTCACCTTACTAAAATACTGGGAAAAAGTCATGAAAACTTTTCAGTGATTCTAAATAAAAAACAGTACTTTCATTCCAGTGGAAATTTTGGGATGTCTCTTGTTTGCTTCGATTCAGAAATTTTTAAATGTTAAACTATTGGACCTCGATGCAGAATCGAATTTCTAAGTAGATCTAATGATAAGTACGAGCCTGAATTTTAGGCATGTTTCAGTCATCTATTGATGTTACTTGAATGAAAAAATGCTTTTACGTGTCAAGACAGACTCTGCTTCATTGCCCATAAAATTCATTTACCAACAGTTAATTGCTTGCCAATCATAAGTGATTTACAAACCTGTTTACCTCAGAACGACTGACCTTCAATTAATATAAGATTAAAACCATACAAAAATCTACTTTATTTCTTTCCCAAAATAGTTTCATAGAGACCTTATTTTCAAGTACAGATCCTATCCAGACCTGTGTATTTTACAACATTTTCTGATACCACAACTCAATGGCTTCAAAGTTTTATGATAAATATCTTGCAGGTATCCTGCTTGCTGTCAGTTTTCCTCACTCACCATTTGTTACACAAAAGCTGCTAGTTACAGCAATCCTTACACTTCACATCTGTCACAAACATCTGCAAATTATTTCAACTGCTTGTAAAAATAAATTAGGGACTTGTTATGGTCTAAACTCACTAGCACTCATTTATTAATTAAATTTCACTGAGTAGTTTCTAAACTTGAATAGCTTGTGTGCTGCACATCTTATGCTGAAACAAGAAGCCAAGGAGATGGGGGAAGGGAGCAAGGAGTGAGTGATGTGCATTTAAAAACAGCTGTATAGACCACTTCTTTTTTTAATGGAAATCCTTTCTTTAGTATGTGATTCTTCGTAACTGTCACATGATGGAATCTAATTATTTAGATAGGAAACCAACTCTATGGCTATTTGGTTGTTGCTGAAAGGGGAATGAGGCCTTCCTTTGCTTTCCTGTAAATTCTGACCTCTTTGGGGTTTTTTTTTTGTCTCTTTAAAATCCACCTATCACTTCTATTTTTTAACATTTCACACCCTCTCTCATTGGAAATGGGGCCACATTCTTTCCTAGTGAATAACTCCAGCAACAAAAGAAGCTCAAATTTAGAAAGCGACAGGCAGCTAAGGACCATCTTACAGTTTCAGAGACATAAAAGGACAGTCAATCCTTGTAACAGGACAGTCTATGGTTTCCAATTTATTTGAGGACTAGGCAAAAATTAGTTAGCTTGGACATGTCAAATTCATGACAATTCCAAGTTGAAAAGAGACTCATATCTTAAGAAAGCTTCACTCCACCCTGCTCTAGCTCATGGCAGTCAGATTGGTATCTGCAACCAGATATAGCTCGCACACACAATTCGTGATGGAGCAGAGGTGGTGTCATTTGGATCTGAGCCCATCTGTAATAGACAACTTATTAAAAAAACAAACCAATAAACCCAAAATCCAAAAGAGTTGATACAACCAGCATGAAAACATGTTTAAGCCTTCTTAAAATAGATGATGAAACACTGAACTCTTTCAACTGCTTTATTCTTCTGATTACATTCCCAAAAACCTGGAAGAAAGAAGACACTAATTTAAAAGAACATTGAAATAAGAGTAATTCAGATTTTCTGTGTAGTTCTTCAGTTTCTGAGTTAGTATTTCTTTTTCTGTGCAGTGGTAGTGGTTAGGATAGAATGATGTGTACCTCAGCACTAAGTAAGAATTTTATCTTTATACCAGTTTTTATTATGAACTTGCCTATTTTTCATGTACAAAAAATAAATTATATATACTACACAGTACTGTAGAGCAGAAAATTAAAAGCAGCAGAACAAATTGCCGATTTCCCTCTAATTCATTGTGCTGGTTTTGGGTGGGGTAGAGTTAATCTTCTTTGCAGTGGCTGGTATGGGACTGTGTTTTGGATTTGTGCTGAAAACAGGATTGAGAATACAACAGAGATGTTTTTGTTATTGCTGAGCAGCGCTTACACAGAGTCAAGGCATTTTCTGCTTCTCTTATCACCCTGCCAGTGAGGAGGCTGGTGGTGCACAAGGAGTTGGGAGGGGACACAGGTGGAACAGCTGACCCCAACTGACTAAAGGTATATTCCAGACCATATAGTGTCATATATATATATATAGTGTCATTTAAATCTGGGGGAAGAAGGAAGAAGGGGGGGACGTTTGAAGTAAGAAGGAGGAAGGGGGGATGTTTGGAGTGGTGATGTTTGTCTTCCCAAGTCACCATTACAAGTGATGGAGCCCTGCTCTCCTGGGGATGGCTGAACACCTGCCTGCCCAGGGGACATTGTGAATGAATCCTTGCTTTGCTCGCGTACACAACTTTTGCTTTACCTATTAAACTGTCTTTATCTCAAATTCTCTTTCCCATTTCACTGTGAAGGAGTTATTGAGCAGCTGTGTGGAACTTGCTTGCTGGCTGGGGTTAAGCTATAACATCCATACAAATGTTGGTAATTATTTTCCTCAGCAGCATTATGCAGTTTCTGACTCTGATGACTCTTAGAGGCACGTTTTTGGACTTTCCTAATTGTTGCTGGTCATACTTCTACTTTTCAAATTCAGCAACTATAAAAGACACAAGTTAATCTGTATCTGGATTATGTCTAAACCTATTATAAGAATGAAATAGAAAACAAACATTTCCATAATTTAAGCTTTTTTCATTTACCTTTTAAAACTCAACACTGTCAGGTTCATCCCTTTGTGGATGGAAGGTTGTGTCACTCCCAAGTGCAACTGGAGCCACTGTCACACATATATTCTTCCCCAGGCTCAGCAAGAAGGCTAACCATGGCAGCATCAAAACAGCAAGCAGGACATATGCACACAGAAATAAAAGCTCCCAATATATTTTGATGTAGCTCTCCAGTTGACCTGAAACTCCCCTTCGTATGTAAACAGTTGGCAAAAGAAATCCACAACAATCTCCTTTCTAACTTTGAATTTTAATACTATGCTGTTTTTTAAAAATCTTGCAAGTTTGTTCAGCTAGTTTCAGAAAAGATTATTTTAGTGGCTTCCAAATACGCAAAGACAAAATTGAATTTGAAAGGAGCTCTAATTTTAAGTAAATAGAACTGTAGCTAAAACTAGTTTTAAGATATATAACAGAACATTTAATCATATTGTTCTCAGAATTTAGCTTCTCCAGTTCAGCTGGAATTTGGCAAAACTGTACTTACAGCTCACAAATAATATTTAAAATATACTTACAATTTACTCAGTGCTATTTATTTCACCTTCTATCTCTGCATTTTTTGTTTGCTCACGTGGAACTCCCTAGTGCCCAGCCAGCTTCAGATTCTCTACCAGGTGTTCATATTTGCTCCTCCCATTTCTTCTGTTCGTTCATACCTTTTCTCCTGTTCCCATTTCCCACACTCAGCAACAGGCCAAGGGGCAAACCTTTCAGAAAGGAGCACAGAGACAAACACCAAAATAAGGCTTTGGTATGACAGACAAAATATTACTGCAAATTTGCTTAGATTCAGGAAACTGTAAAGGCCTGGGGTTTTTCTCGCCCATAGATTATGTCAGCCTTTTTGTACTTCCTGTAGTGTTATTTCATACTTGCTATATGAAGCAGTTTCCTTAGGGGTTTAAGGATCTATTTCTTTTCTCCCCTAGAAGTAGCATTATTCTGTTCTGTCTTACAATATTCAGAATCTGATACGCTTAACATATTTTTCATTTAAATCTTTTTTTACTATGAAGCTGTGAGAGAACATATTGTTACCGGTTTTGAAGCAAAATTCAAGCCTAACAGTGCATCCAGGCAATCTTAAGCTAAATGATACTGAAAACGGATGAAAAATATGGTTCACTCAAGTTTTCTTCTCCATGTGCTGGATTAGAGCAGATCTTCAAGGAGGTTTAAAAATTATCGATTAAATATAGATCAATGGCATTTCATAAACAAAAAACGAGTACCTCTAAGGTAGTGACTTAAATATTCACGTGCTGGCTAAAAGTCTTTGCCTGCCTTATTAAAGGACTTAGCTAAAAGAAGTTTACAATTTTAGCAAGCACTTCCCTGAAAATATAAATGATTAGGTATAAGTATGCAGTGTCTGGAAGATAAAAAGCACAGAGATAGACTTAAGAAAGCAAGTGTTTATGTGCTTGATACACTGTAGTTATAGTATATTACACGAAGTACACATGAGCTGCCTTGCCAAATTCAGATAAGTTATAAATAGTGGTATTAGATGTTGGTGAAATTGTAAGTGGATACATATCAGTCTACTTTACAAGCAGTAATCCCTCTGCTGGCATTTAATATCATCACCTTCATTGATCACCATCACAGACTTTTTTATATTTCATCATGGAGAATTTTTGGCTAGAAATCTGACTATTGTGAACAGTTTTGGTATTACTAAGAACATTCATGTTTGTCAAGACAATGCTTTTCTTGTATCTCTATTTGCTATTGCCTTGTCTAGGCTACTTCTCTCTTTGTCTACTCAATGCTTGATATTCTACGCTCTCTTTAGACACCAATTCATCATCTGCTTTGTTAAACACTCCAAGTATAGGCTCAAATAACCTTAGTTAGGCTCTCTGCTGCCACATATCCAGAATTTAGGAAAATCTTCTTCCACTGATACTCAGTATTCCCTGCTGCTGGATCACTGTGTTATCTGTGTGCTACTCTGTCATGCTGGCTGATGACCAGCATGGATGCAAATGCCCAGTCCGTTAACTGAAGTAGAATTCTACAGATGAAGTGACCAGAGGGGCAAAAACCAAAGAAGTAATTTTATTTTGTAAATTCAAATGCAAAT